GCGCGTACTTGCCAGACAGTACAGAGACAGCAGAGAGAGATGTTACCTTTTTGTTAATTTGAGTACACCACAATGCGCTCTGGCAGACACTTGTAGAATTCTACCAGAAGAACAAGTTCAGGCAGTCAACTGAAATAAGTGGTTTTGCAAGCATGGCTCCAATTTTCAAAGAGGGTTCCCTTTTCTTCCCCCTTATAAACTCAACAGAAGTCTGTGCTGGAACCTTTTTTGTGTCTTCTAAATTTTTGTAGACCTTGGAGACCGTTTCATATGCTCTCAGCCTTCTCCTGGTCCTCCACCTGGAGCCAAGCTGTCCAGACTGGCCAAGCCTCACCCAGGAAATCTGTGTTAAACAGGGAGAAAGGATCATAGAGGGCAGAGCGAACAGGGTCTTGGGCTGGTCAATCACCTCACTAGGCCCTTTTGGTGAAGCAGCTTCCCTCTTCTTTGGGCGACTCAGGAAGCGCCGGAAACACAATTAACCCTTACTCCACCAACTTGCATAAGACTAACGTCTTCAAATTGTTTTTCAAAGTTGACTTTGCAAAAGGGATGGTAAAGGGAACAACTATCTCGACCAAGTGACCTTTTCCACATCGTAGTTTTGATCGAGGGAAGGGTTTGACTAGAAGTTGGCTAAGTCAAAAGTTACTTCCTTTTATTTCATAATCATTTTCTTATTCCGCCTCTCCTTTAACGGGTAAGATTCCGGCCACACTGCCCCTCTTTCACAACACACCTCTTTCTTCCCTGATGCATCTTAAGACCTCTAACTGGTGTTACTTTCTGCAAGTATAAAAATAACATTTTTCCTTCTAGCGTACCAAATTTATATTTTCCAGCTACACTCACCCTTCACTTAGAACTATTATGCCCAACTTTAGGTCTAGAGAGTAGGTCCGTACATCTCAAGCTCACAGGCATGTTGGTTCCAGTGACCATTCAGTCTGCCTCTGAGTCATTTCCACCCCTGCTCTTGCTGACCCTTGGAGGATTCTTATTAGATCAGTAGTACCTTTTTGCTGGCTGTAATAATCTGTTTTCCAATGGAAATTGTATTGTAAGACATTCTCATGTTTTATTTAGAAAGTATTATTTTTCTTCTTTAAGAAACTCACAACTTGCAAGCCACATGTGGTCAGTCTTTCATTTTTACTGAAGCAACTAACTGACCGACTGAAGACTGTCCAACTTCATACAACACCAATGAAAATGTTGTATAGTTAAATAAACTTACCAACACTGTTCTCAGTATATAAAAGGTGGCATTAAAAGAGTTTTGCATGGTCTTTTTCAACACGGAAGAAAAGATAATGTCATTGTTATTTTTAAACTTATCAACACATGAGAACCTGGCTGTAAATTCACAGGATCTTACATTACAGTCACCGCCCCTGTAACAATGTGAGTGTAACACATACTCTGTGGTTAAAAGCTGTCCAGCAAAAGTTTTGTTTAATTTTCATTGTAGCTTGACACTATTTCATTGACTAATTTGAATCTTGTCTTGTTTGGCTTTGAATATTAAACTAAAATACTTTTAAAGCATAACTAGGTTGTGACTAACTTTCATCATATGTAAGATTAGGTGGAAAATGTGCATATTTTGATAAGATTTTACTGTCAATCTACTGTTTAGTTACTGTCCTGTAAAGACTGAAATATTTCTCTTGTTGGTGTGTCATAATAGGTTTGTTGTCCTGCTTTTATCATTGACCAGATTTCAACTAGACAGCAAACAATGATATAATAAACATTAAGAGGGTCCATTTAGTCTTTAAATATTTAATTAATTGCCTTGCATTGCAGTCTGCACCTTCTTTATACCAAAGGGGCATTTTGTCTAAGAATAATTGTACTTTTCTATCAATGAAATCAGTACTGTCTTTGTAAACTGTTGGTCCCCGAGTTAGTGTTTTTAAAGGCATATTGAGACAGAGACACACTTTATTTGAACTGGGTAAAATTTGATTTATTGCTCTAAAAGCTTCATAAAAGTTTGATGCTTTGTACTGTCAGATATATACAACAATTATGTTACATATTTATAATTTATTTTGTCTATTCATTCTGGCTATTTTGTATTATACTTAGTTATTTTCATTTGATTTGATTCTGTTTTTTGTTTTTTTAAGATTCTGTTATCGCTCTTGTACTTGGACCAGAGTAACGCATTTAATTTTGCCTTATGTTTTTAACGTTTGGAAATGACAATAAAAGCTTGAATCTATACATCTTTGAATATTCAATCTTGCAAGAAGAAGTGCTGAACCACTAGATTCTGATAGTGTTTTGTATTCCTGAAGCAATAATAAAACATAATTTGACTTGGAAAGTGATGTTTTCTACTCAACGTGCAGGTGTCGCACAGTTCTGCTCTCAGCATGTGTTGCTGTTATTTCTCCCTTGGATAATGTAGTCCTAGGGGTTTTCTTGTATGGATCCCAACAATTGCCTTACCCGTAGCTACATGGATATTCTGTGGTCAGCAAGAGACTCTGTGCCACTTGAGCACTCTATCCATTAGCCAAATTTCTTGCTATTTCATTATCCAAAGGGGATGGGTTATAGCCTCTGCCCCCCCATCCAGTCCTGGATTTCAAGTAACCTCCCCTCTGTCTCAAGAGGATTAATCATGGATTCTACTCAGACTTTTGTATTTTGTAATTTTGTAACTAACCTAATTTGAAAATAACAGCCAGAAATGTAATAAACACCCTTGTTTACTGAAAGGTATTGTAGAAATTCTGTTCTGGATGCATGGGGCACGGTGTCAGGGATATTGTGTGGAGCTCTGTCCTACCAGTTCTCGGTTCTGTAGTGGAAACTAGGCTATTAAATAAGCTGGTGTCAGATTTCTGTACTGCTGCCATTCCTGTCTTAGACAACCCAAGCCCCACATTGATTTTATGAACCACAACTGCAGGACAACACCGAAGGCTTTCAAGACCATAATAGATGTGTTGGCCGAGGCTTGTTGATTTTATAGGTTTATATATGCAGGGGCTTTGATTTCTCTTGAAATATTCGACGCAAATCCGTCATGCAGTCGGAGCTCCAGGAATAGCTGACTGCTCACTCCACTGTTGGCTGTGATAGGTCAAGTCTGGAGGATGAAGATAAGTAAGTTTGACACATGTGTGCTGACTTAAAACAGAGAGGAATTAGTCTGATGACATGTGCTTACACACGATTCAGTTTTTACTACATTTGTTTGCGGTTGGAAATACAGATAAAAAGGCTAAATTGTCTTGACATGTGTCATCCAGCAGGAAATGAGGTAGCTTTGGCTGACTATGTCAGGTATTGCTGAGGACTTCCATTTAACTGCATATAAAAGTGCAAAAACCTTCAGCTGTCATATCACTATGGCCACAGTAATAAGAAAGCAAGACTATTTACAATTTAAAGAGAGTAAAATAATATGGAAAGCAAATTACCTAAAGGGGGGGAAGGAGGAAAAAAAGGAGAACACTATTGATTGTTGTCATCTGATGTCCTGGATGTCATTCCTAAAATTGCAACAGCTGGTCTGTTGGTTTGAAGTTAGACTCTCAAATATATAGAGAAAGGTACACAATGTAATCATGTAATTTTATCAAAATATCGGCCGTGGTGTATGACTACATGATAGAATGTAGATTAAGTAGGACTAGTGAATAAGTAAGTCTTATTATTGTATCTCTATCTGACAAGTGTGTGGCTCAGTAAGCAAGCAAGCAACTTTATTTATAAAGCAATTTAGAAATCCACATCCAAAATTAAATTAAGCTACAATATAGACACAGAAGTTGGACACTGGGGATAAAAACTATTGAAAATATAAGATATTATAAAAAACAAATTTTAAGGTAAAACTTTTTTTTAATATGGCTTTTAAAAGTAATGACAGATGGAGCTTGCAATAAATAATAACTAAAACTAAATTAACAAGGCTGGTTAAAACATATAACAAGTTACAATGATCCAATTGAGACGTTGTGAAAGCATTAATTCCAGTAGTATTGTGTTTTAATAAATCTGTATGATTTGTTTTTGATTGCCGGATCAAAGCTTAACACGTCTCAAACAAAAACAAAAAAAGTTTAAAAAGGATAGATGGAAGCTGGGAAGATGCCATAAAGCAGCCGTCCCCAACCCCCACAGACCAGTACCTGTCCGTGAGTTGTTTTGTACCAGGCCGCACAGAAAGAATAAATCATTTGTATTATTGCCATTTTATTTGTTATCTGACTCTTAAAAATGTTTATGTTTTTAAAAAACGCTGCGCTCTGCCCTTTGCATCCATTTACGACTCACTTTTGACCCATGTCAACATGCTTGACTGGGTCACATGACACATTAACGCTATTATTAAACCCACAAGTTAGCAAAATGAGTTTAAAAAAAAAAAAACATATGTCTTTGGAAAGTTTCTTCTCAAAGGGGAAACGCCCAATGAGGAGACAGAAGAAGAGCCTGTGTCCACTAAGAAAAAGAAAGCAGCATTTAACATGCAATATAAGGAGACCTACTTAAAATATGGATTTATGGATTTATTCCATAAACACAGTGTGTAGAAGTTGTCAAATAGGTTGATGCATTATCCACTTTTCATGGACACAACTTTTAAGAGGGAGTCTCTTGAGTCTCCACTGGGATGCTGTCCCTCACATTTTACTGAAATAAGAAATCTGAAGCTGTAGAAAGAAAAAGGAACAGAACTAAATTATAAATACATTGTTTGAAGTGTTGGTAAAATGTCTCAGTCTGTAAAATATCAAACAAAGCTAAATAACGCACACTTCTAAACCTTATGTGATAGTTCAACAATGTTTTTTTCTTTTTTTTTCAGGTGAGAGTTCAAAATTAGTCTTTAAGTTTACATTTTTTCTTTTTCTGATATGATAGTCACGCTGAAATTTCATATTACCGTATCTGTTAAACAGATGACAAGAAATAAATCATTGCATAACAAAAAGATTTTGAAATACCACTAATTATATGTTGTTTTTTTCCAGCTCTCTAACAGGATGGAACCTCAGGTAGGGGAGGAGACGCCTCCAAACGGAGGCCGAACCGATAGTCGCCTAAAGAGCAAGAAACCGCCCAGCCTTACGATATCCATCCCTCCACCGGAAGACCACATTAAACAGGTAGGCTTCGACCGTATTAATAATTTATGTCACCACTTGACCATGTTGGATCAGCTTAGAGAGAAAGCAGTTAATTTTTTTTATGATACTGATACTGATTATTACTTAGCCCTGGAAGCTTTGAGATGTTACTAAGATGTGTGCAAAAAAATTTTTCAGTTCTTGGTAGGGGATTTAAAAAGATTACATGGGTCTGCAGATGACTAAAAGACTTCATATTGAGTTGTAAACTAACAAACGTTCCTTCTGTTATGATATTTTTTACGTTGTGATGTAGTAAGTTTTACTATTTATTCTTTGAAAAATAAGATTTTAGAATTTTATAAAATATATTTGGATGTAACTATTTCCTGTGATTGATGATCGACCATAACTTTTAATCCGGAATTATAGTTAACAGAGAGCAGGAGGGCAAGGTATGTGCATGACTTTCTTGCACTCTTAACTGGAATGTAGGTACTTTAGTTTCACAAAGTAGCTGCATGAATGGGGAAACTGCCTTTTTTGGGGGGATAGAAGCAATAATGACACGTTAACAGAGCCAGCTCTGCGTTGCTTGGAGACAGTGAAGAAAAGTTTGAGGGAAGGGTGTACCAGCAGAAGAAAAAACACAGGCAGTTTTACAGCACACACAAAAAGGAACAGTATCGTCTCATTCCAGACCACCCTTTTACAAAATATCCTGGACAACCAGTTATATAACATTCTTGATTAAATCCTTTACAAAATTTTCTGCTTTTACAATTAGCTCTCCAGCCATGCTAGCTGTCTATCTTCTTTAGATGAATGAAACTAAACTGTTAACTGTCCCCTCCTGCTTGACCACACAGTTTATAGATTTTGACTGACTCTTAAAGTCAAAGTGTGTGTTTGCGTCTAACAAAGTCATGACAAAGTCGCTTTGTTTTAAAATGACCACCGGATATGGAAATGCAATGCACCATGGGCACTGTAGTATGCTGGCAAATCATAGAACAGAACATTGGACGCGTATTCCGTATACCTCACCCGGACCCACCTGACAGACAGTGTGTCATGTTGGATGTTAAGTTAAACATGCGACCTGTAGTCCAGTGCGTCTTATTTATCACGGTTTATCATTCTTTACGATGGATATTGTAGCTGGTTCGACTTATAGTTCAGAAAATATGGTAATTGCAGTTTGCATAAATGCAATTATCCATAGGCCTGCTCAAGATGGCTTTGTTAATACGAGCCGTTCATGCGTCAGATTTCCTGACTGGGTGTAGTTTAAAAAATTTTTTTTACTCTCTTCCTCAACATCTTATCGCTTATCTGCCTCTGTGAAATTGCGTTTCTTTGCGCTTTTCTTCGCGGTTGCTATGGATAATCATGAAGCTGGCTCATTTGATACACATAGAAATTCACCAGGTGCTTTGCGTTGACCATTTGTGGTTGAATGTGGGCAAGTGGAGGGTGGAACCTGAGGTTAAATGTTAAGGTGCAGCTGTGGATAAAGGGGAAATTGTGTGCTGGTGTGTGTGCAAATGGTTTCATCAATCTTTATTTATTTATTTATTTTTGGCGTACTCCATTGTTGGGTTTTTGGCGTCATACATTTTTAGAAAATATACTATGCAATGTTTTATAGATTAGACTCCAGATGTTGATCAGGTATTGTTGGAAAACAATGAAATAATTCTTGTGCATTTCATTTTTAACAGATTGAAGAAGTACGTACGATATTATCAAACATACATTATGTATGTAGGCCGGAGCAAAGGGCGAAAACAACCCCTGTACTAGAGAATGTAGTTGTTAGCTACGAGATGATTCTTTGTGACTGCTGCTGTGCTTTCAATGGATAAATTGTCAGCGACAGCACAATGAAATAAAATAAATAAATAAACGTAAAAAACTCTAAATAATCTACTTAAAAATGAATGAATCTTTCCAAATTTGAGTTTATTCAATCCAACGTCACTCAAACGGATGTGCCGAATTCTCTCTCTTTCTCTTCTTCTTAAAGAAAGGTAGAAAAAAGATGGATTACAAAAATAGACCTTGTTGGTTTAGTATAGTGTTCTTATTCCTCTGAAACTGCCATACGCTCTGAGATAGACGCGTTTTTCGGTGACTCCTTACGGTTAATTTAAGCACCAGCATGCTGGCCCCCCTGAGGGCCCCATATTTTGAGCACCAACAAACGCACTCTGCTGCACAAAGCAGTCGGTTTTCTGTGTTTAACTGAGCATACAACAGTTAAATGACTTTCTAAAGGTTAATCTATGCAATAACATGCAAATGTGTGTGACTTCATTGCTTTAAACTTTAATACTAGTTTTTTGTTTTTCAATTAAAAACAAAGGAAATTACTTTCTACATCAGATATAATTGTTTATGAAACAGCTAACAACATTCTGTACATCTGTTTTTATTTATTATTTTTTTAAGTTGCTGGAAGTCCATTAGAACTTTGGCCTTATCAAATGCAAAGGTTAAGATAATTTATACAAAATCTTTCGGCTGGAAGGGCTCAGTTACCACCACCTTCTACGAGTCTGCATTTTATTTCCTTCAGCTACTATTTATTGCAATGCAGAATCAATCCAACCACAAAAGAGAGTAATATACTATTTCAGCTATTAACATTTAAATACTGCAGCTCTCCATGTTTATCAAGGTCTTGATATAATTTAATATATATATATATATTCCTTCAATGCATTGATAAAACTAGAACTTTTCCATTCTGTACCGGCATCACTAATGTCATTTTACTGTGACAATAATTGCTGCAGTACCATATTCACTTGTTCTTTCTTCTATGAAGCCACTACGACCATCTCTGAAAAAAAGCGTGACTCGTCAAACTACTGATTCTACATCGGAAAGTGTCAGCGGAGCGGGAGATGGAGACGCGTCAGCCAGAGACAGAAGAGCAAAGTTTGGGAGACAGACATCGCTCTCACAAAGCATCAAAAAGTAAGCTGTGTGTTTTCTTTCCTGCTGCTTAATTAAATGTTTTTGATCAGCCAAGTACGTTCGAATCCAAAACTCATAAGACAGACAGGAAATGTATTATACTGAAAATGCTAATTAAGGCTGCTTAATTACAACCATTTGATTATATGCATTTGTATACAGTATTTATGCCTGCAAAGTATTTCTGTATAAATGTTTTTCCCCTTAAATGAAGCTTTGAAAAGTACTTAAACTGTGTTGCTCACAGTCTACTTTGTGGTTTTGGTCTCAAACTTGAACAGGACTAAAAACCAGCACAAGTGTAGTAGACTATAAACCAACACGGTGCTTTTGAAAAGATATATCATATATCAAACATATCAAATTCTACAAGAGGGTCTTCAGTTTGCGTTCTTAAAGTGCACGGCCTCCATCAACGGGACCCTAATCTGTGCCCTCCTAGGAATACAGCCCAGTGGTTCGGGGTGGGTGAGGACTGTGAGACAAAGCAGCAGGTATGGCACAGGAAGAGCCTGCGCCACTGCAGCCAGCGCTACGGCAAGCTGAAGGCCCAATATAGAGAGCCTGACACGGCCACCAGCATGGACTTTAGTATGGACTCACCAGCCGCCCAGAAGATGCCCAAGGTATACCACCATCCGAATGGCAGAGTATAAGCCACTTCAGCTTCCCTATATAAAAATAATAGCACTCTCAGCTCAGCAAGGCAGAAAAATGAATGGTACACTTGCTCTTGAAAGCAACCCCTAAGCATGCTTTGCATTCAGTCTAGTTTCTGTGACTGTAATTGTGTAATAAGTGCCACTGTCAGACAGACCTTGAACCCTTTGTTTTTGATAGATTGTAGACCCTCTCGCTCGAGGACGAGCCTTCCGTTGTCCAGACGATGTTGATGGCCGCTCCCCCAGAACACCCCATACCATACAGGGGGTTCCTTACACCCCAGGGATCACGTCCCTCAGCTCTTTCACCAGCCAGCGCTCCGGATACAGCCGCTTTCCGAGAAGGAAGCGGGAGTCCGTGGCCCGCATGAGCATCCGGGCTGCGTCCAACCTGCTGAGAGTGAGTCCGATTTCTGTGTATGTTGACGGTAGAAGAGGGTTGATTGTGTCTCTGGTTAGTGTTAATTCTCTGGAATAAAATAAATATATATTGACGTGTAATCAGATATCTGTGTTTGTGTGACTACGTATGAATTTACCTCACTTTCCATAATCTAAAGTTTAGAGACACTGAAGCTTTGATGTACTGAATCAAAGCCGTATTTTTTCACCTTTAGTTCGGGCCCACCTCAGATTACTTACTGTGTCACGTGTCTGTTGTCCAGGGTCGGAGCGGCTTTGCCGGCTCGCAGGCTGGCCGCAGTTTTCCCAGGCGGAGCTTTGTGCGGCCCAGCTGGATGGACGAGGACACGGTCGATTCAGCCGACGCGTCTGTGTCACTCTTCTTCAGCAAGGTTAAACACTAGGTTCTAAAGATTTACGCTTTGGCAGAAATTTTACTTTTTTTCAAGATGCCACCTATATATGCTCACTGTTTGCTTTTCCCCCCCTCCATCTCTTTGGCCATCTGTACCTTTGCTACACAGGTTGATGCACATGATGAGTTGTACTCAATGGCTGATGATGTATTTGAATCGCCACCCATGTCTGCCTCTTTTCTTCCCTGTGAGCAGAATGACCACAAGGCCTCCAGCCTGTGAGTAAAAGTAAAAGACTTTTAGAAGGCTGTCGAAGTGGAATCACTTGTCCTTAAGGTTTAAATTAGATTATTTTGTGGTTATTTTCCTGTTCGTTAAAAAGACCATCCCCTCAATTAATCCCCTGTTGCAACTATTAATCATTTTAATTTGTGGCACCATTGTGGTGAAATGATGGAGGAACAGAAAGCACAAAAAAGCTTAAAACTGAACCTTTCATTTAAATTTACCATTTTCGGTTCCCCACTCTGTTTACATGCTCACTCTTCCTTTTCCCAAAACCCAGGATGGACATATCTCGACAAATCCACGTGACGCCATCGGCGGGGCCTGAAAAGGGTCACCCTCGTCGTGGCCGCCGCATCGCTTCCCAAGTTAAGCACTTTGCATTTGACAAACAAAAGCGTCAGTACGGTATGGGCGTGGTGGGGAAATGGCTGAACCGGAACTATCGACGCAGCCTCAGCAGCAACATCCAGAAGCAGTTAGATGACTTCCACAGCCACAGGTTGGAAAGAGTAGTGCACTATTGTATTAATGAAGTATTTATACACCTAATATGTTAACTTTTACACCTCAAACTGAGTATTTTGTCTTTTTTTTTATCGTCTGTCTTTATTATGAATGTTTTACCGTCCTTTTGTTTTTTTGTCGTTACTGTTTTAAGGCAGCTACCACAGTAGGAAGTTAAAATAAATATGGAGAGATAATTTAAGTATTCAAGTGAATGAAGGTTGTTTGAAGAATGATGTCATTATGAAACATTTTGTCTCACAACAATCGAAAATAGGAATTCCTTTCAAGCTAATATGTCATTTCAGTCCCTGTTAAGTGACTTTTTCTATTATGTCTGGTTTTCAGGCCCTACTTCACCTACTGGATTACATTTGTCCATATACTTATCACGTTGCTGGCCTGCTGCACATATGGCTTTGCCCCTGTGGGATTTTCACAACATTCCACATCTGAATTAGTGAGTGAAGCACTTAATTTGAAGTCTCTATAAATATTTAAAACCTCGATGCATACATGATTGCATTTAAATCTATTTATTCTTACTTGAACAGTGCAGAGTTTGTAGGATCAAAATGTATACTAACAGCTTTTTGTGGAACTGAACCTTGAGTTTACGGAAATTGATTCAGCTCGGATGCACTTTTCACTCAATATACGTCTGAGAGCATCCGATCTTAGAACACTCAGAACATTGATATGTTTTTTTTTCTGTCTTGCTTTACAGTTATTAGTGCTGCTAAATTGTGCTGCTATGTTGCCCTCTGTAGGTGCTGAAAAACAAAGGTGTTTATGAAAGTGTCAAGTTCATCCAACAAGAGAACTTCTGGATTGGACCTAGCTCTGTAAGTCTGCCACTCTTCTTTTCTTCATTATATATACACACATTTTAGACATTTGTCTTGCCGTCTGAAATCCAAAGATACTAGAAAGAACGGCTTAAAATTAAAGACTACTGCTGATGGAAAACTGTTGTGAACTCACTTCTGTCTACAATGTTAGTTATGTGACACCACACTTTTTTTTTCATTCACTGGAAGTTATTTTCAATTTATATTCAAGTTAGTTTTAAGTTTTATCCCTAACCACCTTTCCTTTTACATAATATTCTCTGTCAGTACTGACATTTAATTCACCCTGACACACATTGCTAAATTTATGGTTGTTGTTTGCTCTTTAAAGCAAGTTAAAAACCATTCTAACCAGTTCTAGTAACCCACAATCAAGTCATTTGATGCTTTTTTTAGGTCATTGTAGGTCTCATTCCTCTGTGTTTTTCTTAAAAGAAAAAGAAGAAATTATGCTACATCAATTTTTTATGTATAAAGAGAGAATTATTTTTTTTAAGAAAAATACATCGGAGCATGAAAGGAAAGTTTTTCTTTTCTTTAATTCCCAGGAAGATCTTATTCACTTGGGTGCCAAGTTTGCCCCCTGCATCCGACAGGACTTCCAGATAGTCAACCTGATCCAGAAGGCAAAAGATCTGGAAAGAGAATCTGGCTGCTGCATTCAGAATGACAACTCTGGATGTGTGCAGACACTTAGCACTGACTGCTCTGTATGTATTCAAACACTGTTGTGTGCGTCTGAAACACAGAAGGTTTAGATAGAAACAGGGAATGCTGTTCTTTATTTAAAAATTAGCAGTATTTTCAATGTCACATATGTTTTTTTAAATTCTCAAATGTCTCAATGCAGGAAACTCTGGCCACCTTCATGAAATGGAACAAGGAAAATGTAGACACAGTGAAGTCTTCTCGAGCTGTTTGTCATCAAGATCCCAGGTAACGATAGGGATGAGATCATTTTGACTGCAGCAAATGTAGGCCAGTTCGGAAAAACTTGCCATGAAGCAAGCCGTCATTTTCCATTACAAAACGACTTACCCACTTCCTCTGTCTTGATGTGTGACATGCTATGACTAGAGTGTGTGAAGAGCCCGCCTCTACAGATCTTCATACGTGGCCAGATGACATCACCCAGTGGCCGGTGAGGGAAGTCCGCTTGAAATTTGGAGATAAGCCTTGTGTGTCTGTTACTCTTTTGTAATCACTGGTCCTTTGCCAGATATGCACGCATCCCAAGAAGTGGAACAACACAGGCTACAAACACATGGACTGCAATATTAAGGGGCGGCCTTGCTGCATAGGAACAAAGGGCAGGTGATAAGCGTTTGCCAACATCACTTTCTTTTTGAGTTTTTATTGTTCTTGCCCAGGTCCTCTATAATTCCAGAGTAAAATGGTGTTTTCAATGTTGCCTGTCCCTGCCGTAGATGCGAGATCACAACCAGAGAATATTGCACTTTCATGCATGGTTACTTCCACGAAGAGGCCACGCTCTGCTCCCAGGTAGCATCCACGCACATGTTTTAGTGTCAATATATATGTGCACGTGTGTTTTTTATTAATTTTTTATTTTGTGCATTTCTAACAATGCTAATCTTGCGTAGGTCCATTGTCTTGATGAGGTGTGTGGCTTGCTCCCCTTTCTCAATCCCGATGTTCCAGATCAGTTCTACCGCCTGTGGCTCTCCCTTTTCCTCCATGCTGGGTACGCACTGCGCTCACAAACAGCATCCGACAACCACGATTTTGACATTTCTCACATTCTTATGTCACACAACTTTAACTTTAGGTAATGAGTTGTTACAGTTTACCCACTGTGTTTCTTTTCTCAATCATGGGATCAAAGTGAAATAGTGTTGAATATTCTGTGAAGAAATGTGCTGTCTACAGTATTGATGAGCTAATAATGACTCAATAGGGCAGAACAGTGGTGTGGTGTGGTGGTTAGCACTGCCACCTCACAGCAAGAGGGTTCCAGGTTCCAGTCCCGGGGGGGAACTAGGACCTTTCTGTGTGGAGTTTGCACATTCTTCCGGTGTCTGAGCAGGTTTTCTCCAGGTTCTCCTTCCCTCCACCTTCCAGAAACATCACCTGTAGAGACACAGGGAGAACATGCAAACTCCACACAGAAAGGTCCTGGGTCCCCCGGGACTCGAACCCAGAACCTTCTTGCTGTGAGGCGACGGTGCTAACCACATCGCTGCTGGATTATATATTTTTAAATAAGGCCTTTGTCTTTGTGAGCATTTTACTCGCTTCTGATGATTGTAATACTTAATACTAGGGAACTCCCTCAGGTTCAGCTTACTAAAAACAATGCTAACATGCCCACATGTATATCTTCGGTAACTCATTGTTTGAAATGCTGCTACACTAATTTGTTACCTTCCGCCTTATGTTTCCCTCCGTTTGATGTCTGTGTGTGCATCTGTATGTATGCAGACTCTTGCACTGCCTTGTGTCCATCATCTTCCAAATGACCATACTGAGAGACCTGGAGAAGCTGGCAGGCTGGGTCCGCATCTCCATCATTTACGTCCTCAGTGGCATCACTGGTAACCTTGCTTCTGCCTTATTCCTGCCTTATAGAGCTGAGGTGAGTCTCTCATGTGTGTTTGCATCTGCAAACAGTAGCACACATTAAGGTTTTAAGCAGTTTTATTTTTTATGTGCATATTTAGTATAAACTACAGCAACATGAAACTTCCTCTGAATGACATCTTTCTTCGATAGGAACTCCTGTTTTGTGCATCATTTACTACATGAGATACAGCGTTGTTAATGTTATTGAAGGTTAGGTTTCAACAATTCAACTTTGGGTCCCCTGAAAGAATAAATAAATGCATCAAAGTCTTTGGTACTTTTGAGCACTTTTTCATGTGGAATACAAGGAGTATATTTAATTTTAGGGCTGTATAATAATAATGAATTGTGCTTTACAAATGTTTGCATTCAAATAGCATTTTGTTGTCTGTTAAATTCATAGTTAAATCTGATCTAAACATTCCCTGTGGATAAAAATGTCCTTTGTCTTTCATGCTACAGCAGTTTTTAGATGAGTTTATTATAATGTTGCAATTTTTTTTGCTTGTTTCACCCCTTTTCCTTCTGAGTGGCTTAGGCCAGCTTAGTTAAGGTCGCTCAGTGGAGGGGAGTTATTCCTGTTTGAGATTAAACCTGAGCGCATATGTCTAGAAAGGTTTTGTGCAGAAAGACTTTATTTAACTTGCAGATCATGGAATATTTGCAAGATTAATTCTTATAAAAGACTACATTAAGGCAAGGAACATAGTAAGAGCTATGTATTGCTTACAGCTTAGTTTGTCTGGCAGCATGGAATCAATCAAAGTATGTCACAATACCTAGAATGAAAATGAAGTGTAGTGTAGTGAATTGTACACAAACAACAACTGACAGTCGAGTGCATGTTTAATCATTAGCATCGCTTGAGAAAGGAGCCCAGTTAATAGAAGACTGGACTCCTAAGGGAACTGAGGTCCGTTGTTTTACTCATTTGAAATATTCCTTTAGTCACATCTTTCCAGACCAACAGAAGCATCATGTGTTTGATGAGTCAGATGCAGCTTCAACGTAAACACAATACACTTGTGCTACAAACGCATAGAGCAGACTCAGTGATTGTTCTAATTTCAGCAGTACTGTGATCCCTATTTAAACCAGTGAGCAGTGCTGACCAGCACGTCATTGGGATTGGATTTCTTCCTCTTCTCTCTCAGGTCAATCAAAGTGCTCCCCCTGCTGGGCCCCCAGCTACCATTGCCTCCCCTATTCCAAATCCACTGAGTGAACCTAACTGCCTCATCTGGCACTTCACACTCGGTCCACTTACAGCTAACTCCATAAAAAATGAGACGGCAGACTTTTCAACAAATCCTCTACTTCCTACTTCCACTGGGCAAATCCTAACTGTCCAACCTCTCTACTCTGCTTCAGCCCTAATTCTACATAACTAAGCTTTTTCCTCTGACACGTTTCTACTACAAAGTCCTCTTTCTACACCCAGACCACAACCCTGTCTGGCTTTAGACTTGATGAGGCTATTTACTGGGCAACAACATCTACCTACATCTCCCAATCACAAGCGTCCTCTAAACTGCCCTGCCTCATTACTGCCTCTTTAACATTATCCTCCTGTTAAGCAAACCGAATTGCCACACTCTCTGCCTTAGACCCTCCCGAATTAACTCTTCAATAACCGCTGCTAAGCTTCTTAATACTTGATTATGTCTCCATGTATACAGGCAAGTGGATGGTACATGACGTTAAAGTGCTTGCTTTTTGGCCGTCCTCTTCATTACAAAGTCGAATTCTGCAGAAACCTCCGCAAATATTAGACTCGGATAATCTTTTTGAAAATTACTATCCTAAATGAATAGCAACACTGCTGTACTTTTTTCCAAAATCAACTGTACCTATGTGAAAGACGCAGTTTCTCTTTCACATTGTTGCTTCGGTAGAGTTATGGATTACTCAGCGCGTGAAACAAACGATTAAGTTTCTGCTGCAAGTCTGTTCGCTTCTGCATGCTTCTAGAAGGGCCACTTTCCCATTTAAGAGATTAGCCTAATGCCCATTGTGCAGGTCAGCAAAGGCTACAGCCACAAGAGCGGGTGGGGTTTTCATTTAAACAGACTATTGTGGAAAAGATAACAGGTGTCTGGTGATATCTCCAGTTCATACATGTTAATAAACTACTTAATCCGTATACAATCCTGATTAATTGGTTACTACTTCATATGAATAGCATTAACAGTCAACATTTACAGATGTCTGTTGTGCACCAACAGGTACAAGTCAATCCACTGAAAGAAATTCGTTTTAAAATGAGTTATTTAAATTATTTCTCCTGTTGATTTTAAGTTATTGAGTTTTCACGACATAAATAAAGATATTTTTTCCAACACTTGTGACGTAATGAGAGAAATTATTGTAGATGAAGTAGCTTGATATACTCGTGATAATACTATACATTTAAAGTCCAATTTCAATTTTTGTTTTGAGTTTGTTATATCTGTTTTAATTTATCTCATTTGTGCACGAAATAAAAACTCTTCTAGTAATTTGTATGGTTTCGCCCATGGCGTTCTCCAACTGTATCCCCAACATAACCTAAAATGACTCATGGTGAGTCATTTTAGGTTATGTCATCTTTTGTCATCCACTTCTTGTCATTCCAGTCACTTCCTCGTCCTTTTGAGATTAGCCCCCAGAATTACTGCTCCCAGCCAATGACGAGTGAGGAGAGTGGCACCGTGTGTGGAAGACCATGCTTTTTCTGGTCGATTGTGTTTAATGTTGGCACAGATTAGCCATCTGTGTCCGACCTATTTAGCAGCACAGTTTGACGGCAGACTAAAAGCTCACCTTTACAGCCTGACCTAGTGCCGCATCCATTCTTTTGCAGCCTGTGGAGTGCAGATCTGCTTGTGGGGAATCAAGAGGAACAAACACAGAATCTCTTTAAAAAAAAAAAAAAACGTTTAATAGAGATAAGAATAAATAAATAAACTGGCGGACTGTCCAGGGTGTACCCCACCCCTCGCCCATTGACCACCGGGATAGGCTCCAGTTCTACCCGCGACTCCATTAGGGAATAAGCGGTAACGATAATGGATGGATGGATAAATAAATCAGTGCTTAACAACAGAGTGAATATTTAAATTATGGGGACGGTGCTCTCTGGAAGGAGAATTGAGATCTGCAAAAATCAAAAACAGAGAGTCACATACAAAAATGCTTTGAAAAGTAAAAACGGAGAAGCCAGCTTCTTTGAACCGAATGGAATGGACTTACCGAGCATAGGCATGAACTCGGAAACATGTGAGCAACTCAGACTGAGAAGAAGGTCAACCTGGCCATCTTAAACACAAGCCCCATTGAATTAACTACAGGTTTGTGTTACTCCCTGAGGGCCAACCTTTTTGCAAACAGCCTCAAAATGTCTTCAGATTGGTTCAGTTTCCATTCTTATGACTAATTTGACAGAACAGATATGCTGTTTTGTTATCCTGCGAATATTAGGTCTTACTACAGTGTCCAGGGATCAGGGTTGGAACTCTTGGTGTCTGTTGAGACGAGTGTGTATACTTAAAATACTCTCCTGAGAACTTCCTGCCAATAGTTAATCAGATTAAGCCTTCGCTCTTTTTAAACACATTTCATCCTGTGTGACTGTTTGGGTATCCTGGTAACTGAAGCGTTCTTCACCAGTAAAGTCTGTGCATGATCTCAGAGTTGTGAAACAGACTATTAGAGCTTGGTAGAATACAACTTTTTGCGTATAACATCGACATACCTAATGATTGGAGCCGATGCATGATGCGTCCATGCCACCACTAAGCAGGATGGATGCATATCGTCTCTGGTACACATCAAAGACGCAGTAAGACAGACTCAGAGATGTTCTTTAGCAACCTTGTCGTATTCAACTTATTTCTCCCAATTGCTCTACTCCTAGGTTGGTCCCGCAGGGTCCCAGTTCGGTCTCCTCGCTTGCCTTTTCGTCGAGCTTTTCCAAGGCTGGCAGATTCTGGAAAACCCCTGGAGGGCCTTCTTCAAACTGCTGGCCATCGTCCTCTTCCTTTTCCTGTGCGGCCTTCTCCCCTGGATCGACAACATCGCGCACATATTCGGCTTCCTCAGCGGGCTGCTGCTCTCCTTTGCCTTCCTGCCTTACATCACCTTCGGGACCTTCGACAAATACCGCAAACGCATCCTCATCGCTTTCTCCTTGTTGGCCTACGTTGGGTTGTTCGCCTCGCTCATCGTGTGGTTTTATATTTACCCCATCAACTGGCACTGGTTAGAGCATCTCACCTGCCTGCCCTTTACTAGCAAGTTTTGCGAGAAATACGATATAGACCACGACATTAATGACGTGGTGCACTAGTCTTAATGCTACTTGTGACTTCTGTGATCATAACGGTGTCCTGATCCACCACCTTAAAGACGGTGATGGGATCAGTTGCTTCCAGGTCAAATGTGGCCTTCTAAGAATTTGCCAGTCATGTTTTTTTGTTTTCACACTGGTGACCCGTCCAGGTGGAACCCAAACTCTCACCCGTTGTCAATGGGAATAGGCTCCACCCCCCTGCGACCCTCTGGGAATAAGTGGAATAGAGATAATGGATGGATTTTTTTCACATGATCATTCCCTCATAAATGATAATGCTCAAAGCCCATGTGAATGACTCTTGATCCTTTTCCGCTAAACTGTCTGCTGAGTTACTCCATAAAACCTGTTTATCCTTTCAAATCCTCATCCAAGACACGTTTATTTGCTGACCAGCAAGCAAATCCTCTGAATCTGACAACAGAAAAAAAAGGAGCCTCAGTGCTAAAACGGTTAAGATCTGAATGACATTCAACGATTATTTTGTACAAGAGATTGTTAAAGTCCTACGGTTAGAAAGGAAGATCGATCTAAAGACACTTATTCAAAGAGGACAATCTGGACACCTCTAACCCACAGATATTTCCTTTTAGGATTACAGGCAATAATCGGGTGACAGAAAAAAGGGCCGACTGATGCCGTGGTGGGTCAGTCAGTTGAGAAATAGGACATGCTTCCAAGTGATTCTTTTTTTCAGTCGTTTCATTTAACACTACCGAAAAGCTGCCATTCATTTATTCAGCTTCTGTTTTTTTTGTTGATGTTTTTTTTCTCTCCATTTTTATGTTTTTTTTTCTTTGAATGGATATAAGGTACATCCCATGTCAATGGTCTTTGGAGCAGGGAAGTGCAAATTGAAAGGTTTGTTCCAAGTATTACACTGCATCTTGAATAGATAAAGTAATATATACTGTAAGTGGTTAAGGAAGATAGGTTATGTCTGGAACTACTAGATTTCTTTTACAGATTATACCAATGAGCAAATATGCCTCATACAATAGGTGCGAACTGCCCAGATTAATTTGTGAACCACAAAAAAAGATTTGTGAACCCACACCACCAAAGCAACTGAACATGCTGCTTTACATACACAGAGTAGCACGTAGCGCAGTTTTCCACTTGAAATGTCTTTTCATATTTGGTACTACAGTACATAAACATGCTTTTTTTTTTTTGCATGTTTTCTCCGATTTCTCCTTGTTTTGTCTTTTTTTCCCCCGGCAATATAAGCAGGTCCTATATATAATCTAATCGTTGATTGGAGAAAAAAAAAAATCGCACGTGCTTTCCTTGAATAGTTTTTAAGGATTCCGGAATGTGTTGACCCCAGCTATTAGGAAAGACACAGTAATGCTGTGTGGTGGATTATGTGAGTTTATTCTGTTATCCGGTCAGTGGGGTTAACTCACTAATCATCTAGCATTTATGAAAACACGAACTCAAACGTAATAATTGGATAATTAATAAGTATTTTATATCGTTTTAACACCTCTGTTTGGACTGTGGAAGCCATAGGATTGTAAATCAGTGGACAGTGTGAAAAACTATCCGCCCATTTTTCTTTCTAGAAACTATTTTACTGTGCCTTTTGACATGTGAGCATATGACAATTTTAATAAGTCCATATAACCCTTGACCTCCATCGTACAGCACTAAACGTTAAACTAGTGTGTTTGCATTGTGACCAAATAATGAACTCTTTTCTATTTATTTAAGTGGGAAAGTTTAGAATAAACGTCCGGAAATCTTCATGGTACTGTTATGTGTTAATTTAGTTTTCTATGTGATATGATGGCAAATGAAAGAAGTCATTTTGAAATAAATGCCAACCTGTCAAAAAAAGAGCATCCGTGTAATTTAATTTCATGTTATTGTGTTGCTTCTGCTTGTCATGTGTTTCCTAGGTTTCCCCTACAAAAACATAATTCATTGTTAACTTAAAATAAAAAATTATATTACATAACGCTCCAAAACAATCCCTGAAAGGACCCTGGTTGTGTACATTTTTCCAGAGCTGTTGTATCCGTCATCTTGTTTAATCTTTGAATTTTTTTCAGACAACATGGAATTGTGTCTCTCGATGTGATAAGAAAGAGTAAAAATATAACGGTTCCACTATTTTTGTAGCCTTTTTTATGACAGCCAGTAACAAAAATCAACTACAAAATAGGAAGTATTGTTTTATGGGAAAATAGTCTTTAATCAAGGCTTTAAGAGGCACCGATGGTAAGAGAATTCAAGAGAAACGGCTATTTGATAGATCCATTTTTACTTAAAATGTTACAGATGTTTCACAATATTCAGAATAGAAGTAGAATGTCTCATACGGGAAATGCCATACTCACTTTCATGTTTAATATGCCGTCACCACAGAGCTCTGTTACAGCCACTAACATGACCACTTTAAAGGCAATTAAAGCCACATATTTTCACCCACAGAAGACCAGGTTGACCCCAACATATCAAGTGAATATCCAAAAATTAAAAATAATATAATAATATATAAAATTAAAGATGGTTTCATGCTATTGAATTTAATAAATGTCCATTTCTGAAAATGTATTAATCTGTATATTTAAAACTGATGCATTAACATACTGCTTACAAGCTTTGTGCTAATATCTCTTCTCTTTGAAATGTGCTTAAACACATCACGATGTCTTTTCAGTCTCAGACTTCTTGTCCACACAGTTATTGGCAGCTCCTTTTTTTATTCTTCCCAGCTCTCTGGAGATTCCGCTCTTATTGCTTACCGAGCAAGTTTTACCAACAGGAATGCACACAAACACTGCTCCGGTCACTCATGAACAACACGACAAGCTCTAGTTACCAAAGGGCGACAGCGAGTCCCTCTGTGGTCAACATCCACTGTTTCGCCGCAGGAAGGCACGACCCCTGACCGGGTAAAACATCTCGGTGAACTGAAGCGGCCCCACAGTGACCTCGCTGGGGCCCAGCACCTTGAAACCGGACTTCTGGTAGAAGGGAACCAGGAAGTCTTCGCACATGAGAACAGCCCGGCGCACGTAGGGCAGGTAGTGGAGGTGTTGCAGGTAGCGCCACATCAAAATGGAGCCTTTTCCCTGTTGCCGAAACGTCCGGTGGACCGCCAGGACGTGGATGTGCACCATCGTTCCGTGAGGCTTATGGAGACTCAAGGCATCCTGGAGAGTGGAAGAGAAACCCAGAAGTAAATGCTAGTGGCTCATAAAGATACCAAAAATAAATCAATAAATACTTGTCATGGCTTGTGACTAAAAGAAAAGACAGTATCAAAAATAAACTATGATAAAACTAACCTTTTTTCTTTTAAAATTAACCTGCTAATTATTCTGAAGAAAAAACAGCAAGAACAAAAAACTCAACATTCTACTCTTGGTTTTATTATTGATTTTGGGGAGGTGTTCTTACACATTTAGTTCACAGTAGCTTATATTTAAATGATCAATATGACTTTTTTTAAAGGATGTGCTAAGCTTTTAAGTCAAATTCGTGTTTTTTAAAATTATTTCCGCTGAAAACATATAAAAATTAGCTCACTAAAAGCTCAGTCCCTGTTGAATTAAAGCTGGGAAGTGTGAGTAAGAGACACTGGAATATTCTGGAGTACAACAAATCCCCTTAATCCTTATCACAAGCCCGTCATTTATTCTACCACTTCACGAAAACTTTAGATTCCGGACGATAAGCCGCGACTTTTCCCCCAGCTTTCAAGGCTGCGGCTGATACTATAATGCGGCTAATATAGGAGTTTCATACTACTAAAACATTTAGCCTAAAAAAAATACAATGTAATTATATCCTCCAGAGCAAACATGTAAGCCACGAAAACCTTTACAAACTTAGCAGGAGACCCAAAGTGAGTCTGAATTTCCTTTAAAGCGCTGATAGGGCCCAGTGTCAATCCTAGTCACTTCTAAACTCAACATAAAATTAAACTCTCATATCTTAATTCAAATAGTCGCTTCATGAATAAAAAAAGTTGTAGATCACGAAACAAACTTAAAGCGATTCTTTGTGCCGTTTCCTGTGTTTCTATATTATTGCAAAAGACATGATTCATTCCAAATCCTCTCAGCTCTAGTTAGGCTGTTTGTATACTTACTCACAAAAAAATAAAAATAAATTCAATTCAATTCTATTTAAATGGCACCAAATCACTACAACAGATATCTCACAGCTCTTTCCAAACAGCAGGTCAGACCCTACTCTGAACTTATTTACAGAAACGCAACAATTCCCACCATGAACAAGCACTAGGTGACACAGGCAAGGAAAAACTTCCTTTTAACAGGCAGAAACCTGAAGCAGAACCATGGCTCAGGGTGAGCGGCCATCTGCCTCGGCTGGTTGGGGGTGAGAGACAGAGAGCGAGAGAGAGAGGGAGAGAAGGACAGAGGGATTGGAGGGAGGCAGCCTACAGAGTAACACATAGACTGGATGAAAAATGGTAAAGATATTGATAGTAATGATAATAATGGTGATAGGACTATGAACAGTAGTTCATAGTCCTATCACCATTATTGTAATTGTATCATAATAGGGGGCAGCAGGAAACTCCCAATCACAGATCCAGACTACAAATTATCAAATCATTTAAGTGAAAACTGATTGCATTCAGTAAAAGCAAATATATTTTCCATAACATCTCTGCGTAAAAACAGCGTCTCCACATCACCTTTTCCCACCTGCTTGTTCAGTCCCGAAAGATTTTATGTTTGTGTCTTCTACATTAATATAAGTATCTATGGGCTATACATTGATGCGCTGTTATATCTTCTATTAGTCTGTTTAGTGTCGATTTTTTCCGGTCACTGAGTATAAAGTATCTTAATAAACGTCCAGATGTCTGTCTCACCAAGGTAAGCCTCTCCTGGTCCCACAGCGATCCGATGACAAAAGCCACCAGCCGACCCTCTTCGAACCAGCCAAGAGACAACTCTGGACACAGCGTGAGGAAGTGGCGGACCTCATCCAGGTGGAGCGGACACTCGCCGGACACTGAGATGAAGGCTGCGCGAGGAGGAAAAGGTCAGACCACCAAAAAAGCTGCGCGTCATGACGCATCGACGGCAAAGAGATGCGTCCGTGCTTCTCTGCTTCTCTGATTTCCTAACACTTTGGAAGGTGTGATAAATGTTTAATTTAAGTTTACACTGAAAAGAATGTAAAGGAGATGACGGATGACAAGTGTTATCTATGTGGTGGGTTTTTTGGTGATGTGGTGGCTTTGGATGCGCTTCGTGTGGAATAGGCGTGGTTTGGAAAACAAAACACGCGATACAGTGGGCCTTCTACAAGTAGCACAATGTGTTGCTTACCTTCTCTCTCGATCTCGAACACACTCACTGCGTCCTCCGGACTCAGGGAACGGAACTCGCTGGCTGGCAAAGTGTGGCGGCGGGCCTGAGCCACCGGCAATCGCACGTGTGGCGGCCTAACAAACGGCACCGCGCTCATAACTGACATCCTGTAGTCTCACTTATTTCTCTCGGGTGTCACCAGACTAAAAAGCAAACGCCTCGACCCCCCCTGATTTCACCCCTACTCTTTTTTATGTTTCTTTTAAAGTTTTCTCCCCTGCGTACCAGACGAAAGGAACGTGCGTAAAGACTGATCCCAGAGTGGCGTGCCAAAGACATGGCCTATTTATACCGTGGGTGGTTTCCTTTAATCCGAAAGTGGCTGGAGGACTAAACGCAGCTTCCCCCGTGAGTAGGTTGAACAGTAAACATATTTACTCGGGGTCAGTGGGGTTATCAGTGCGTTAAGGATGATCCTCGTCATGCTGGATTCAAATTCTGAGCATTTAATGCCGTAACCATGATCGGGTGGAAAGACTGAATGCTCTTATAGTGGTGGAACTGGCTCTTTTTTTAAGTATTCGAAGAACTGAGATTATGTTATTTAAGAAAAAATCCGTTAGACGCTCATTGTATCTAATTCTAAAAACTTGCGTTTGTTTTTGTTTTTTGAAATACTTTTATTCCAGATCGTTAAGAGGATTACAGGGTGAGTGGAGGTTGTTCTTCAGAGCATTTCAACAACACTGGTTATTTCTCACAAGACATGCCTTAGTCAAGGAAAGACAAACATGTGTAAAGTCCAAACACAACCAGCACTTATTAGAGATAGAGTAAGACCTAGCCTACCTAATATTGCAATTATTTTTAGCGTAGTTTAATATTCTTGACACAACCAGTTCACAGAACCAAAGATTCATGTACAAAATGTCCTCCAAGATGACAGTTTAATCAGCCAATTTGGGGTTAAAGGTGATTGTGTTTTGCATGATTCACCCGAGTACTTCCATCCTGTCACGGGTTTTCCTCCAGATCAACTTCAAAATCTTTTGGAAGGAATCGTTCCAGTTGAACTTTCTCTTCGTGTTAAAGAAATAATTCGGCCTGAGTGCTTCACTTTAGATTATTTGAACCAAAGGATCACATCATTCCCTTATCAGCGCACTGATAAAGTAAATAAACCACATCCAGTTCCCAAAACATCAATGTCCCGGGGAACGATTGGAGGCAATGGGGATGAAAATGCCACGCTGCTCAGACTACTTCCCTTACTTGTGGGCAGAGAGTAATATTGCATGGGAGGTTTTGATGGACTTGAAAGAAGAGGTTAACGTTGTGCCTATCATTTTCTGATGAAACACTGGATTATTTCGTCTACAGACAGCTTCCCCTCAGTTTAGCCTTCATCCTAAACATCACGGGGCATTACCCCACCTTAGTTCAGTGCTTTCAGCCCCCTGGTGCATGTTTGGACCATCTGATTTGAAGCAAAGCATCGCTTTTTAAAGATAGTGGTACATGATGCTCAAAACTTCAAAGACGTCTTGAAGACCCTGGCAATCCAACACCAACACATGACGGCCCATCACTTTGGTTCGCCATCATTTTTCAAACTCAGATCACAAACATCCAGGGTTGACTCTGTTTTGGTGTGAGCTCTGCCATTAGTAGCTCAGGCTCATATTAGAGGACAAAGAACTAGTGACACTGTCCCTGTATAATCCATCAAAGGTGACCACTGATGGCGCAGACTATACCAGTGGATTGTTAGTTTCCGTTAAAATCAGTGGGGGACTGTCAACATTTTGCAGACTAACACAGATCTACCTGGTGAATCACAACGTTTCTTTTCTCTCGTGTGATTATGACTCCTTGTATGTAGAGCATCTTCGATCCTATGAGATGTCAGACACACCCGGGAGCCTTAAATGATACAACCCCACTCTCTGCGTACAAGATTGGGGGCTTGCTGACTCCTAAGTGGTTCATAAAAGTGAGACCAAATTAAAACCCACTCTACAGGAAGTAATTCTTCATGTATTCAAAAATGTGCTTCGTGTAATCAATCGTTATACACGTCAGCGTACATGACATGCATTTTTGGGAAATGCACACGTTCTAAAGAACATGTCCACAATGGGTCCAAACACAAATATAACTGGCTTATGTTATGGAAGTTATAATGTACAGTGTAGCCCAGGTCCCAGTTTTGTCTTTTTTTCTTTTCTATGAAGCGTTGTGAATGCTGAACACATTAGAGGTTGTCATTGATGATTGTAAACATTTAGAAAGCCTTATAAACGCACTAGGATGTCCATGTGCTGATGTGTATTTAACCTCCACATTTTTTAATTTGTTAAAGTGATGGCAGCTGAAGCCCCGCAAAACATGACACTTCATGTCATCGAGGCGGACCGTGTGAAAAAATTAAAACTCAGCTCCCGTCCAGCCTCTGTTGATGCACTGATCGAGATTTTTAACCAACACCGTGACTTTACTCTGAAGTACGAAGATCCAGACTTTAATGGAAAACTCACTTGCCTAGTTGACACTGAGGAGTTGCCACAAAAAGCCTGTGTTCACATTTCACTTTCACATGATTCCAGTTCTCTTGCATCTACTGATACCCTTTCAGCTGTGTCATCCCCAGAACGTCTCACCAGATGGCCTGCAGGTCCAGTTCAGATTCCCACATTTGCATTTGACATCAAGGTGACACTTAGAGACGGGAATGCTGAATTCGAAAATAATAAAAAACCTCTACAGTTGGCAAGGGGTCAAAAGCACTATATGTTAGACAAATCGGGCATCTACCATATGTGGTTTCAAGGCCTACTCCAGTGATAAGGAGATAGCAATGGTGGCTGAGGCTCTTGTGAGGAAACACCCCTGTTTTATGGAAGCAGGATCGGACAGCATCAAATTTAAAATGGGAAATGACAGGACCAAGATGAGAAGAGCTGGATTTCACAAGGTCACTGTAAATGCTGGGAAAAGAGGCCGAGAAAATCCCGACAATGAACCTTCCCACTCCAACATAAAAAGACCCAAGCGTGCATAGAGGATCCCTCAAGTCTTGATCATTTGAAGCAGGCTATTGTTGAGGAAGTAAAGAAGACTGAGAGAAACCCACCTCTTATCAGTAAGATGATGCAGACCCCATTTGCCTTGCAGACTATCGTGATGTCATGCCCTCCCGTCAAAGAGCTCATGGACCTCTGGCCTGCTCTTCATATGCAGTCTGAGGTAATGTGTGGTTTGATCCTTGCTACTGTATGTCACTGTGTAATGTTGCTAAATTTCATTCATCATAGATTAAATCAGTATCTTTTTTTCAAAAAAGAATTACCGTACTGTCCTTTCCACAGTGCAGGTGTATGCAGAGTTCCACAGGATAACTAACCAGAACCTTCCAAACTATTTCTAAGCCCAGCTGGATCGCCATGCTCCTCGCTCAATGGCCTTATTTAGGCAGAAAGCTTCAGAAACTGGAAAGACTGCAGATGCTTTGGCTGACATGATGCACAGGTGATTGTACAGTTCACATGTCTTCTGTTGGTAGTTTAATGCTAAAGATATGGTTTTGAATTCCATAATTGCACCACATAAGTCAGCAGACTATCATAATAGATGTATGTACAGATATTGGTAATTAATTCATTGGTATTTAGTTGGGACTGTTTGTCATTGGCTTTGATTAGGTAACTGTATTTACACTATTTTCATTTTCTCAGGAATTACATGAAGTCCACACGAATGGACTACTTTTCTCCATGCCCTCCGCCAGCTCCATGTTGACTACTGTTCAATGTTAATGTTAAAGATGCTGCTCTACTCAAAAAGTAGACACTGTGTGTACTATTTAAATATTATTGTTGTTAACTAATGCAGGGCCGTATTCGGTGTTTATACACTATATTGTTATATATCATATTGTTGATCTTGCGTGAAGTTGCTAGATTTAAACCAGATAGCCAAAGGAAGACTACGCACTGCCTTTGTACAGTTTTTAAATTTTAGCAGTTTTGGTTTTGAAGAATTTAAAAGCAATTTGTAATACATCGCTGCACTTTTATAGTCAGATGACCAAAAGTGTGCCTTTGCAAATGTTTCTTTAATTCTCTATCTAATTGCTTTTTTTAACTGTTGTCTTTCAAATATTGCTTCATATGAGCAAATAATCTCTCTAAACGCAGATTTTTGGTCACCACCTGAGATTTGCTGAGGCCCCCCTGGAGATGTTGTATTAACAGTTTTCTAAGATATTTGTGACATTAAGATCTGTTCTCTATGTAATTTAAGCTTTTCCGAGTTTGAATATTTCTACTATAGTTTATCTTAAAATATAAACAAAAGGTCCAGTAAGGATCTTTGTTATTTGTTACTTTTAATTCATTTATTTGTTTGTTTGTTTTTATTGAATATATTTTGTGTTAAAATACAACAGAAAGGTGTATGCAAAAAATCGGAATATCATTTTTTTAACGTGTTTTTTTTATTTTTTACTGTTAAGTCAAGAGTACTTTAAGTACTTTAAGTACTTTTAATTGCCACAAACATTTTAAGTTTGGAGTAAAAAGATTTTGAGTTGTAAGAAGTCTATGTTTTTGAGTCATGTTTAATGAGAAGATTGAAAGAAAAAACTAATGAATTTGAAGTTCATTGAACATAAAATCCTGAATCTTAATACCTGAAATGATTAAGTTTAATTGGGTGATTTCAATGAGAAAGATGAATGAATATTCTGAGTAGCACAAACTGAAGAATTTTGAGTTGGCTTAATTTGTAAATTTAATTAAATTATTATATGAATATACATTTAAGATAAACTCCATATATATAAGCTCTGTTATACTCAACTCGAGTTTCAGAACTCAAAAGAATTGGGGCAACTGATTGCCTTACTTTATTTAAGTACTGCTAACTTATTCGGGTTTACATTGTAAATTGAAAAACTGAACCCTAAGTCTTATTACTTGGTCACTATTTAAAGTAACTTTAAAATGACCAGTATCATTTGTGTCACTCCACACACACACAGACAAGGGAAAAAAGAAATAGGAAAAATAAATATACATGTATATGAGTGTGTGTGTGCGTGTGTATACAGAAACACACACACACAAACATATATGTGACGCAGTATGACGCTCTCATACTGCGCAAGTTACGTATCCTTCCGTAGCTACGTAAACACGTGCCTATCGCCGCTTCCAGGTTCAGCTTTTTTCCCCCCTCAAGCCCAACCGTCATCCTCGCTCTCTTGCATCACTCCTTGACAGCAGCAGCGATGGCGGAACCCGTAGCATCGGATGCAGTGGCCGTAGCGGACGAAACAGCATCAGCCACAACATCCCCACCACCGGGCCTGTCTTCCGCGGTTAGCCCGGGCTCGGAACCCCCATCCATGGCTCTGTCTCCCACGGCGGACGGCTCCCAGCGGCTGCTCTTCTCCCACGACCTGGTCTCCGGACGGTATCGCGGCTCGGTCCGGTTTGGCCTCGTACGGATGATCCACGGCGAGGAGGATTTCAACTCTGACTCGGACCTCGATGATAGCGGCGGGAGAGGCGGCGGCGGCGGTGGGGAACGGGGTGGCGGAGGAGGACGAGCCCCGGGTGGTTCCGATACCGAGAGTGCAGTGGACACCCCCAGTCGTCCCCTCGGTAGAGGATTTGTCCGCGTCCAGTGGTACCCTGAAGGTGGAAAGCAGGACATTAAAGAGACAAAGGTAACAGCACCAGCTATTGTTTTATCTGTTTACACTGACAATGGATGATGTTTTGTCACTGACATGATAACCTAAGTTTTTAAAGGCGTTTGTATCAGTACTTCAACTTGCGGTTTATTTTTTTAGTAAAGCATGTCGACAGAAATTGGTCAGAAATTGGATTAATTTCATCCAATCTGAGTAAAACATACAACTTAGCTCGCTAATTGGCTAGCTTGCGAGCACAAAAGCTAGCTAGCACTGTTGCTCGCAGCCTCACGTCCCCTCGGCTGGTCCTGCCAAAGCTAAGCATGTCGTTTCCACCCGGCCGGGTCCAGCTCGCGGCTCTCAAACCAAACGTGCACGACTGGCTAGCCGAGAAGCAGGTGTACGGGTCTCCGCTTGCATCGTCAAACCCACTGGTTAACAGCTCATCTTTGTTCAGTCATTCCTTAGCTGGGTGTGTATGGAGCTAAAACACTAACGGCTTATACTGCCATCAAGAACGAGATTTGCCATTGGGAAAATTAAACGCTATTAAAAAAATTAGAGGAAAAAAATAACATTGTCGGTGAATTTTTTTTTTTTTTTTACAAAGAAACGGTGACGTTGAGAAACTTGAGGTACTCTAATTTTTCACTGCAGCTATTTTTCTTTCAGTGAGAGAAGTTTTTCATTGTCATTGCAGCTTTTTCAGTTACGATACAAGCCGGGGCACTCATTTGGCTTCGATGGGCGGGGTTAACGGAAGGGTCTTTTCTAGTTAGCTGCGGTTTAGGATGGAAGGTTCGGGCTCAAAAAAAGTTATTTGGATGAGTATTTGATGCTAACTAAGTAAAGTGAGCACTGTGTCACGTCTCTGAAATGTAATAAGCCAATTAGCTTAGTTAGAAATTAAATTAATAACAAAAAGAATGCCCCTGTGGTTGACGCACTTAAACCGGAACCTTCCATCATTCAATTTTAGTTGTTGTAATTTTTACAATTTTTTATTTTTTTTACTGACAATGTTTATTTTCTCAGGAATTATGTTTGTTTTTCTGATGACAACGTTACATTTATCAGTGTTTATTTTTTCAACGCCCAGTCCCATTTTTTCCACCCTGATGTCACTGTTAGCTGTCACTGTTATAGCTCCATAGGTGGGACCCAATTTGAAGCATTGAAAATAATACAAGAGCAACAGCTCTTTGAGATCTCACACAGACATTGATCATATGTGAAACCACTTGAAAAAATAAATACAAAATTACTATTGCCATTTCAAGAAATATTTGTGCATCTTGGGAATTAGGACACGGCTCGGACAAATTTCACAGGTGTTTATTAGCATGAATTGATGTTGCATAATAAGTTATTGTGTTGTCCTGTTGCTGTTGTTTTTGTTCAAATCGAACCATCATATCTCTCCATTGAGGACATTCAGTCCTCTTAGGTGTAAACAGTGTTTTTAAGCCATTAGGACTAAAAGGAAAAGGGCTATAAAAAGTTAGAGAAAAGAGGTTATCTCACCTTTCAATCGAAGAATAATTCATCTAAAAAAAATTTCAAGGACTATATCAGTAGTTTAGATGAGTTGTTACAGCTCTAATATTTTTTTTTGTCATTATGCTGGAGCCTGTCTGTAGCAATGCGATCGACGAACCGATTTCAGCCCTAAGATGTGCTGATGGTTTCAGCATGATTCAGCATCTTTATGATTTCAGCATAATTTATAATGCTGGCAAAGAGCACTTGTCGTGCTTTGCTTTTGTTGCGCACATGGTGCAGGTAGCCAAAGGGCCTTTCTCCAGAGCTGTCGTTGGCTTTGTGGGCATAAAAAGGGTCAGAGGGTGTGCAGGACGACAGATCTGGAACAAGCTCATACAAAATGTTGTCAAAGACACTGGGCGTGGCCAGGGGACTATTCCTGTGCTCTGTTACTGCTTTGCTTTGTCTTTTTAGCTAAATGTGAAAGGTTCTGGTCGTGGTGGCATTCAGCCCCCGCATGAACAAAAGTCTAACAATAATGTTTGCGCACCATGTGACTTTCGGATGTTTGCCCCAAGGGATCTAGTATTTAGTGTTTAGTATTCTGTACTCTTCCTTCTATTTAGTTTGAGATCCAATTGACATTTTTGTTAATGATTTACTTTCCCAAGAGTCTCCTGAAGATGATCTGAAATTTAGATTCTTAGTCCATCATTTTTGGGACTTTCTGAAGAATGATGCCAATCTTTGCAACACCATTAAACTGCTTGTTTTCCTTCTTGACTTGAGTTCTGTAGCACATTTTGTAATAACACCCTCTGTAGAAGTGGTCTGTGGAACATTTTATAAATCATCTTCATAATCATGGTTTTCTCCAGATGTTGGCACCATTAATCGGGGCAATTAAATTATTATTTGTCATCACATTAGCTTCACTCATCAGCAGTTTAGTCCCACTTACATTCTATCAGAGAGGGTAAAGGGGATATTTAAAACAAATTGATTCCCTTATAATATAGATGTAGTGTCAGTGGCTACGTTCACTATGCATCCTGAGGTGACCCAAATCCCACTTTTTTTACTTTGCCCTAATGCGACAGTGTGAACAATACAGATCACATCTTTCCAAATGCGCCTTTCACGCCATTGATACTCTACAAACGCCACTTTTATGCGTCCCATTACGCGAAAGAAAATAGTCAGTGGGCAGAAAACAAGGTTTCTGACTTGATTAGTATTTAGGGGGGCTCTATTCAGGCCAAATTCAAGAGGCCTTATTGGAACAGGGCAATTTTTGTTTGCATGGATATAAACACTCCTGGCTCCGATGCCAAAGCGAAATAAATTGCCTCCGGGCCAAATATATGAAGCCAAAAGTCTCGATCGAAGCGCCCGTGGATGTTTCACATGTCCATATATTTGGAAATGTGAACGAGCACTTAAAGAAATTTGGATTTCACAGAAAATGGGGTTTGGGTCACTTCAGGTAGCAGTGTGAACGCAGCCAGTGTCTGAAAGGAATTGAAAGCTATCCTGTGTCTTTAAACTGTTGGTGAACATGAACTCTTACAAAATTGCTCGCTCAAAGTCATTATATAGCCGTCTTGTTGTTTTCTGTCATTAAAAAATGTTTATATTAATAGTAACTATTAGTTTAACTACCTTTAATAGTTTCATTACAAGTAGTTAAAATCATATTAGATAATAAATGTTTACATAATTTAAAAAAGAAAAAAGGGTATGAGATCTGAAATGGGTCACGTGAACACCTGTTGCATTGTGGGTCATGCAACACGGCTACAGAGTGACATGGCAACTAGCTTCAGAGGAGATGATAAAACCCACAAACTATTCTATAGTTTGGTCTTAGAGGCTTAGAGGTTTTCCCTCCTCCGGTCTGGTTCTGAGAAGGCCACTTACCATACAGATGTCTTTTAAGAACTGATTTAGCTCTTCTCAGCCGACACCGTGAAAACTATAAATGAAAAGACATTAAAAAAAACACACACATTCACAAAGAGTGTCCGTCACCAAACGGATAAAAAAAGAAAAGAAAGAAATCGATCAAGCTTGGCACCAGCAGCACACGGTAATTGTGACTGTTCTTTATTTTATATTCGGTTTAAAAGCCCTGCTTTACGATAAATTTAGAGATATGATTGAAGTAAATGTAGGGTTTGCTTCTGTAAAATTCCAACTGCTATATAATCAGTTGGATCTCCACCATCAGAATCTTGAAAAGAATCTTCTTGTTGAACTGACATAGAGTGTTGCCTTTTTAATAAGGCGTTTTTTTCTGTTGTTGCTTGTGTTAATGGTGCAAGTCGCCCAAACCCTTTAAAGCAGGAGCCTTGAAATGGGAGTATGCATGACATTACTGTAAAATGTGTTTGCTTTCGGCTTTCTTTCAAGACAGAAGCCCACAATTGTGCATTGAGTTGATATACCGTTGCGCTCATAAGTTTACACACCCCTGCAGAATTGTTGCTTTTCTTGGCATTTTTTTCAGAGAATATGAATGATAACACAAAAACTTTCTTTCCATTCACAGTTAGGGGTTGGGTGAAGCCATTTATTGATGAAAAACCCTGTTTTCTATTTTCAAATCATAATGACAACAAAAACCATTAAAATAACCCTGATAAAAAGTTTACATATCCCAGCTCTTAATACAGAGTATTGCCCCCTCTAACGTCAATAACAGCGTGAAGTCTTTTGTGGTAGTTGTGGATGAGGCTCTTTATTTTTTTTAGATGGTAATGCTGCCCATTCTTCATGGCAAAAAGCCTCCAGTTCCTGTAAATTCCTGGGCCGTCTTGAATGAACTGCGCAATGGAGATCTCCCTAGAGCGGCTCAACAATGTTGAAGTAGCCACACAGACAGTTTTAAGAGAGTTTTGTATTTCAGCTGAAGTTATTTGTGGGGTTTTCTTTGCATCCCGAACAACTATCCTGGCAGTTGTGGCCAAAAATCTGTGTTTGACTACCCAATTTGAGCAGAGTCCCCGATATTCCATTTGTTAATCACAGTTTGAACAGTCCTGACAAGCATTATCAATTCCTTGGATATCTTTTTGTATCCCTTTCCCGCTTTATACAGTTCAACTACCTATGACTCAGAATCCAGAAACCTTACTGGATGGATGAAAGTTGCAAGAGTCTGTCTGGATCCTGGAAACTCACTCAGCTTTTATGCACACACGCTGATTACATGCAAACTGATCACAGGTTAGGACTACTGTGGCTACCTTTAGTAGCTATTCAAACCCATTTGTTTCAACTTTTTTTGTATGTTACAAGGGTATGTCAACTTTTGATCGGGGTTCATTTGAATGTTTTTGTTTTCATCATGATTTGAAAATGGAAAACAGGGTTGGCTTCACCCAACCACTAATCACAAGTGGAAAGAAACTTTTTGCGATATCATTCATATTCTTTGAAAAAAGGCCAAGAAAGCTAAACTTCTGCAGGGGTGTGTAAACTTATGAGCACAACTGTGATTAGAGGGGCCTCACTTCCATCATTTAGGGCAGTTGATACATTTGTGGGGGTATCTGGCTGTGTTGTTCTCAGACCCAGTAGACGGGTGTCATTTCAACACCGGCAGACAAATGCGTAGTTCTCCTGAGTGGAACAATGCAGAGCCCCCCTTGGAGATGTTGCTTTGCGTGGGCCGACAACTTATTGACCAACATTTAGCTTGAGCTGGAGAGGTTTTACATCAGCCAGTTTCAAAACAAAGTAGACAAGTGTTTAATACGCTAGGCAGAGAAAAATGCACAGATGGAAAACACAGTTGGACCTCAGAGCCCCAGCTTGGAGAGCCATCGAGGTTCATGTTCAGACCTTTAGTCACTGTTTATTTAAGCGATGGAGAATGAGGACACACCACCTTTTCTTTTTCTTACAGTTTTTCCACATAAAGATAAGACAACTGTGTAATTGTACATTTAGGAGTAGGGTATGTTTGTGTGTATGAATGCATGCATGCATGTATGTGTGAATATTTTTTCAAGTGAGGAATACACTGGAGAATCGCATATCTGCAAACATCTCATCTGTAAATGTTCTGGAAGGGCTACTTCAGAAATTTGCATATGTCATCAAACCGTAATATTTGGACAATTTAGATAGCTGGCTTTCTATTCTGGCGTTTTTTAAAAATCTTTTATTCTGTGGTGAAATACAACTCGCACAGATAATCTTCTGCTATTTAGTATGTTTGCCTTTACATTTTGAGTCATTGTTTAAATAGCTATAGCATAAACACAGTTATTCCATTAATCTTTTTTTTTTTTTTTAGCTTAGAAAACTAACATAGACTCTTTCCATAGACAACATAGGTGCAAGTTCCGAGCCAACATGTTTAGGTTGACATCACTTGCCATAAATAAGCACTCGATGTCTATTTTAAAATCATTAATCGCGCACTACCGATTCTTGCCTATTAGTTTCCATCTTTTATTTGTTTGAGGCTAACTGTTAGACGATAGCGCAAGGCTCTTTTGAGCTCCGAAACCTCACTGAGATTTCTTAAGCAGGTGTCAGGAAAGCCCAGGAAGACGAACACGGACAGCGGTTTTGTTTTGTAACACTTTGTCGTGGGAAAAAAATAATAATCAAATACATAATACATCACAAAGGAAAGTAAATTGCTGAATAGCAAATAAAAAATATGTAAAGATGAATTTACCCTATGTAAAAAGCTACAAATAGCTACAAATAGTTGTCAATGCCGAAACCAAGGAACTTATAAAAGACACAAAAGTTGCATTTAATCTGAATAATAGAATGCTTTCTGTGGGTGCTAGAGTTCCTACCTTCTCCCTACACCTGTAGCGGTACTCTTTCCTGTCAGATTTGCTCGTAACAAATTATGCTTTTGATGCCATCTCTTTATCTGAAGCTAAAAATATCACTTGACAAGATTACAAAACGGCTCACAGATCCCAAGTTTCTCCTTAAGTAATACAGTCCATTCCACTGATTAAAACATGGTTCGGAATATCGTTTCTGTTTAATGGGTCACACTGAATGTGACGCTGGGATTTTATATAACTTAGTCAGCTGTCCAGCTCAGGGAAAGTTTTATGTGTGTAGCACTGTCATGGAAGTTCACAAATATTGTATTGAGCCGTAACCATGGATGTTAATTAATCAACCACTAATCGGTTGAAAATGCACAATTAGGTGGTTTTATTTGAGACATTTACTTTAGAATCTTGTTTTCTGTTGTGCAGCATAGGGGGAAAAAAAGCTAATGTCAACCCATCGTTTCACCTCACCTGCTTACAGTTCACGGTGACCTTGTTTTTACATAATTGTCTGCCCCCCTTTTCTCTTCTTCCCCCAGTTTGCATTTCTTCCTGGTTCTCCTCGGACCCCAGTGCTCATTAATCTTTCAACTTATTTTTCATCTCTGAATTTTTTGATAACCATTGCTTCACTTTCCTCCTCCTTTGTTTTTTTTTTTTTAACCCTGCTTCAATATTCTATGTCCCCACTATGGCTGTAAAGTCCTAGTCAACTGGTTGACACGTTCTGGGTCGACCAAAATTCTGATTGGTCGACTAATTTGCCTGTTAATTTCACCCACTCTATGGTTAATTTAATCAGAAGGAAAGTACCAAGTGCTAATGGGGGTGTTTAGAGTACCCCTGCTTCACATGTCACAGCCTGTCTTCAGAGACCACCCCCCATGTTTTCACTCTTTTGGATTAGCCCAACACGCTACAAACAGGCAGATCGACGCACGTTCCCGATATTCAACGTCCAAAGGTTAGCTGAACATTTATTTTTGTTTTTAAGTTGAATTTTTAGTTAGTCTTTCTCGACTAACCATGTAAAAGACATCAGCAGTAGGGCAGAATTTTACAAAAATTTGAATGCAGAATTGGCAAACAACCGTTTGCATATCACAGCTCAACTACAGACTATGGTCTAAATATGTTTTTTTTGGTGTAATGCAAAAAGGGTCCGTGCCCACAGTTTGCAGGCTATTGTTTTTAGCCTATGCTTTATTTTTCAGAAATGCACGTTTTAATTCGTTTGCACTTGGTAAATAATCCAATTAGTCGATTTTTGGTGGAAATATCAGGGTTTCAGTCGACCAAGAATTTATTTGGTTAATTACATCCCTACACCCCGCCTCCTTCACCTCCACCTTCCACACCTCGGAATCCCAGCGAACCAGCACCGGCTAATGTCGTTGTGATGCGTTGCTGACTGGACGCTTGTCCAACATGTACGATAATGGATTTCATGTCTATCCTCGTCAGCTCACACGAGGGAATACACAGATCTCTGCCCTGCTGCTAGAACCTGCTGCTATCCACTTCTCCTCTCCTCTTTCTTCCCCTCTTTCAATCTTCCCATCCTCCCCTTTTTGTTCTGCAGTATTGGTTTCTTCTCAGAAAGAGAGAGTCTGCTCTCTTTCTATCCCCCCCCTCCCAAACTTATTTTTCCATCTCCCTATCTGCTGCGTTTGCTGCACTCTTGTCTATTTCTGGCTCCTGATTTCCTTGTTTCCTCACTCTTTCCTCTTGGGATCTGTCTTGATTTTTTTTTGTACTTGTTCGACTGGCTGCTGTCTCTTCTGTATCTTTTTCGCTACTCATCCTCTTTTATTCTCCTGTCACACTCCGTCTACTTTTCAATGAACCCTCCACCTGTAGAAATCCTCGTTTCAATTTTTTTTAAAACCACCTATTCATCTTCATGATTGAATATCTTTCTGTCCCTCCCTTCCTCTCTCTATGCCCTTATTGTGACATCATATTTTCCCACCTCATTTGATTAAAAACTGACACTTTTGACATCTCATCCTAATAGCAAATGCACTGAGCTCGGTGTCTTAAAGCTTTTAGTGCTTTCTTCATTTTGTGCATAGATGTGGTTCTGTGTTTTTTTTCTGCTTTGTCTCAGCTCTCAAATTACACAGTGATGGGTTTGCTCTATAATAGAAACAATGTGCTATTAGGCCTCTCATCATCCCTCTGTGAGACTTGCGCCGGCTCTCTTTTTAATAGAGCTGTCCATCCTTCCTTTGAGTTCTAATCAATAGGTTTCAGTCAGTCAGAAAAGCTTTGCATCGGAAGGGCTGATTAACGTTTATGACCTTGCTAATGTGGAATGTAAGAATTTGCTTTTGAACAGAAGTTTTTAATATCTGACCTGAAGGGGAAATAGGCTAGAAGACTCTGTAAAAAAACAAAACAACAACAAACATATTTGTATAATATCAGCTTACTAACATTACTAACTGATGTATAAATCTAACAATATGTGGAAATTGAAGCGAGTGGCATTTATTGAAATCGTCTCACTCACAGTCTAACAGCTAATTGCATCAGTGTCTGTCGAAGGGAGAAAACAAGATATTCAACATCTATGTTACTCATCTGCAAATTCCATAATGAAAAATCTGAATTATTTTCGTCTGCTTTAATTCCAAATGAACTACGGCTCCTCTTTATTTGCACTCCACACATGTGTCGTTCCCCATACTGTTGCTTCTTCCCGCATTCCTCGATAAACAATGTCCCCCATCATGAGATTTATGTCCTTGTACTCTTCACATTTATTATTCTATCAATGACTATTCTTTCAATTTCCTTCTTTGCCACCATTTTTGCAGCACTCTTCTTCAAAAGCTTGTCATGGAAAATATATGCCACTTGTACGTGGATGAAAAGTTAAGAGTTCAATGCCTGCAAGGTATAAAAAAACAAACAACTGAAGTAGCAAGATTAACATAAAAAATAATTTCAGAGAATATACTGTAGGTAGGATTACCTCTTGGCCTTCTGGTTATCCCTCATTATTCTCCTAAAGCAACATAGAAAAACTGGCAAAAGGAAGCAGCATGAAGGGGCATCACATTTCATCTTTTGGCTGCATAAGTTGAATCATGCAAAAAACTTCGCAATTTCCCAAATCTTGAGAGATAGAAACACAGAGAAGGAATTTGACATCTTTCTTATGACGCTGATGGCTCTCTGGACCTTTTAGAGCTGGGCCTGTGGTAACAAGAGCCATGTTTCAATTTCTTTAGATTTGATTGTCCTTCTAATTTGAGGAGCATGTAAATGGAAACATAGATATTCCATAATTAGGTTTGAAATGATAGGTTTAATAGTGGAAGACAAGTTGTTCATACAGAAACGTTATTTTAAATCTTTTTCTCTTTTTCTAGTGGTTTCTTGCAGTTTGAGCACACATTTAAACTTTTTTTTTTTCGATGTCACTGTCTTGGTTCAACAAAAAACAGTTTTCCATACTTATAGTTGAATAGAAATTTTAAGAATCTGACTTTTTTTTTTGCTTATTCAACTGACAGCTTTACCTGTAGTGGGGAAGCGCTCTCACAGAAGAATACTTTACATTTTTTAAAGCCTGTAGCGATATGTTTTTTAGAAATGCGTTTTACTGTACATGGCAATTCCTAGTTTGTTTAATTTCTCTTTATTTGATCTACAAGAGCCAAAAATCATGTCTTCATGTCATGGCATCTTAACTTTTGACGATGGGACACACTAAGACATTAGAATAGTGTGAGCCGAGCCTGTTAGATCCCTCATTTGGGTTAATGTGTGAGAAATGAACATCCTCTGTATTCTAACAGGTGTTGTCCAGTCTTTTCTATGTAGGCTTTTATCCAAATAAAGCACATCGGCTGGTCTCAACCTGAAACAGAAGGGCTCAGATTCTTTTGGGATGTTTGGTCATTTCAAGGTGTTTTCTTTTCTTTGCTGCTTCACTCTTTGGCAACGACTGTTACCATCACTATAGGATGATTTATAATTTCCAGACTTTATTGGCTGTTCTAACACACATTCCTCTATTATTCATATCGCAGTAATTCAGCAGATGCTGTTATTCAGAGTGATGCTTTGATTTAAGCACAACGGCTCCTCGAAACTAAACTTAAGAACTTCAGGCACCTCTCTTACTGTGGAGTGGTGTTGCTACTCTCGTCACCTTCTATTTGATGCATTTATTTCCCTTTCTCTTAAATCTTGTGTGTGGTTTTAAACACTTATTTGATCAAATTGAACTTTTTTTTTTTTTTTCTGATTTGACAAACATACTTTCTTGTTTCTGAATTAAAGTGCAGAATTAAGTGCAGAAAACATTGTTGTGTGTGTTTGTGTGTGTATATATGTGTATGTATTGGGAAACCTTTACACATTTCACCCCCTGACTCCACTTTTGTTTTGCTTTGACTTCGCTCCAGCTCTTCTTCCTCTTTATGCTTTACCTGAATAAGTACTTGTGTTAGTTAGGCCAGGAAGTAAAAGCAGATCCTATGCTCCATTGATTTATTTATTTTTTTGGAGGGGTAATCAATCTGGGCTCGTCTACTTCATCATCCTTGATAGAAAGGCAGCCAAGGATGTGTTCATCTGGCAGCCTGATGTCACACACAGACTTTCCCCTCAATTCATCAAAGCCACCACCCAGTTTCTCCTCATCTTGAATGTTCTTTTTACACTCTGCATGCAAAACCTGTAAAACATCCATCTACACACATGCTACATACAAATTCTGGTTATTTATTACTGATATGTAAAAATATTAAATTAACACTGATTTCACTCACTAGTTAACCATGAATACATTTTTTTTTTTTTTAAAGACGCACGGTTGCTCCACCAGGCACATGTTTTAGACCTCTGATAGTCCTGTAGTCCCAAGTGGACGTCTCTGTTAAGATCAAAGGTGAGCAATGTCAGCCTTATCACTCTGATCAGTCAGATAGTACTATTTGCTCTCCTCTGATGTCTTCCCATTTCCTGAGGAGTTATTTCTCCTACCGCAGGTTATATATGTCTATACAGGACTGTCTCAGAAAATTAGAATATTGTGATACAGTTCTTTATTTTCTGTAATGCAATTAAAACACATTAAATGTCATACATTCTGGATTCATTACAAATCAACTGAAATATTGCAAGCCTTTTATTGTTTTAATATAGCTGCTTATGGCGTACAGCTGAAGAAAACTCAAAAATCCTATCTCAAAATATTAGAATATCGTGAAAGAGTATACTAGTAGGCTATTCAACTAATCACTTGAATCGTCCAATTAACTCGAAACACCTGCAAGGGTTTCCTGAGCCTTGAAAAACACTCGGCTTGGTTCAGTAAACTAAATCACAATTTTTAATTGCATTACAGAAAATAAAGAACTTTATCACAATATTCTAATTTTCTGAGACAGTCCTGGATGTGTGTGTGTATATGTGTACGTGTGTGTATACATATGTCTGTCTAATTATCTATCTATCTCCTTCTAAAAACAATGAGTAAAAGGTCAGATTTTTGTATTATTAATGAATTCATGTCGGTCTGATTTCAGGGACTTGGTGCTGAGGTGTAGTGTTAGCGTAGCCAGATCTTATTAAGTGGATCAAAATACAGCTGGTTTCAACCCGGTGTCTCTGAGAAGGTGAGGAAATCTTTTCCCACCGTTGCGCACTGCAGCACGATGTGCTGGGAGAATAATAATGAAGATTTGATTGAAAGTCTCAGATGTGCACGCATCTGTGTTTGCAAGGCGTTTCTTTGTGCATTTCAAACCCAAGCGGAGGAGTCGCGATAAGCTGGAAGCTGTTATAGATCAGGAGGAAACATGGCCCCCATCGATCCTATCCTCGGTGCATAAGCGAACACACACAAACACACCCTCATGCTCGGGCACCTTCGGTTTCCCCATCCCAGAATCCAATGGAGTTTGGTTACAGCGTGAGAGAAAACAAGAGGTACTGCCAGGAACTAGTGAACGTCCTCTGCATGGGTGCAAACGGCAATAAAGTGGTTTGATTTGAAATGAAGTGATATGGGGATAAACCACAGCTGTTTTATTTTTGTTGCTTAGACTAAACTGACCTAAGGTTCTACCTCTGAAGTAGCTGCGGTCAGCTTGTTCATACTACTTTAGGCATTGTGTAAAATGCACTTGTTTTCATGTCTCGTTTTCAACTCTTAGTTGAAATTGCTTTGCTATGACTGCTCGGACAATCATCATTGCTAATTAGCTTTATGTGAATGTAAATACAGTTTTGTTGGTTGTTGCAGATAAAGTTAATTTATCAGGAAGGCCTAATTGTGCAATTTCTTTTCTATTAATGTTGATTTAGAAAGAAAAAAAACGTTTTTGGTCAGTTTCCTATCAGGGAACACATGGATTTTTTTGGTTGTTTTGTTAGTCTGATCAGTGACATAGGTATGTATAACGCTTTTAGACCAGGTAGAATATAATTTTTGATCTTGACGAGGGATTTTGTCAATTTGTCAAGCAACCGGGCACCAGATACACAATTACAACTGTGACACAGCAGTACAGAAACCAGACACCAGTCTAGGGAGACTATGCAATGTTTGGTTAACAGGGGAAAAAAAAAGGTTTACTCAATTTAAGCAGAGCACCCGCCATTTTCTGACCTCATATAACTGCACGTTTGGGCTCCATCTGTCCATCAGACTGTCACTTGTGCGGTCTTTAACCATTAAAGTCGAAAATATGTTTGCTGACTTTATTAGTATGAAATACACACATGTAAAGTTTCTGCTTGAGCTCAGTAAAATGCAGCTTGGTTTGGATTGAAAAGAAAATTCAAAGTATGCGTGTTTCACATTTGTGGTTTAGTCATCATTGCTGGTTAGATTGTTTTTAAGAAATCAGTAGAGATTTCTACATGTAGATTTCTCTGCTGTTGTCATGTAAAGAAAAAAGACAATCATCCAGTTAAAACATCAAATACTCAGATATTTCTGAAGCTGGTGTCTTTAAAGTTAACTCACTTGTTAATGTTAACCTCTGTGTTTTTTTGTCTCTGTCTCGCAGCTGAAACTTGAAGATCGATCTATTGTCATCAGAGACATAGTGAGACGGAACAATTCCAATGTAAGTGAAGTTCTCTCCAACTCTTTTGCCACGTCTCTGCCCCTCGTCTGTTCTTTTTTGTTTTTACCGTTTTAAAGAGAAAGTCAGGTTCTTCCTATTGCCATTCAAGCTACTGCCCTTTGGCCAAAATCAAAGCAGATCGACTGTGGCAGGGAAAATAAAGAAAGGTCTCACAGTCTGAACACAAAAGCAGCACCGAGCTTCAGAGATGTTTCTGTTTTGTTCTGAATCACAGAATGTAGTATGGTAAATGTTTATCCCACCATCTGGACAGTTTTTTGACGGCTTATAATTTACTCATTACATCCTCACGAGACCAAATTTGTCATTTATTTATTATTTTACATAAAGAATATGTAATTATATGTAATTAGCACTTTTCAGATGTTTTTTTTTCATATTAACAGAGTAGTGTAATAGTGTAATATAAATTATGTGTGTCTGCTGTATTATAGGATAACCAGTGTGGAATTGTGACTAACATTGACATTGAGTGCGCCGTGAAATTGGTTGGAACAAACTGCGTGCTGTATCCAGTCAACAGCAAAGACCTGCAACACATCTGGGTAAGACAGGAACAGACAGCAAGCCTTAATGTTTATAGACCCCATGATACTGATTATTTAAATTATATAGATATTTTTTTAGTGGGAATAACCACTTGGTTACATTTTATTACATAAGATAAAGCACTGCTGTACAAATTTGTGCAAATGTGTACGCTGGGATGACTTTGGGTGCCACTTTTGTCTCATTTAGTGTCTTTACTGATCTTCTATGTTATAATGGGACCCATAAAAGGAAATTAAACGCATGATAATTATGTTTTAATAAATTATCAGAATGATACTCTAATGTTGAAATATGGAAACGGCTCTATGAATCTACTTGTGTTGATGAAAATTATGCTTCCTTGCACCAATTGTCTTCTGATTTTTCTTGAAATAACTGTTGGCCTCGACAACAGCTTCTAAAATTGACGCAGTGACTAAACTGATCAGGTGTTAGAGATTATCAATGACCTTTTTTTTTATATCATGGATGGACAATGGATGGATGGATGGATGGATGTCTCTAAGGCAGTGGTGCATTGGTCTTAAAACTGACTGAGTTCTTGTGCCTTTCAGTCTTTTATGTACGGAGACTATATTGCCTATGACTTCTGGTTGGGCAAAGTGTACGACCTGACCAATCACATCATCCTCCAACTTTCCAACGGAGCCAGGTAGGTAGGGTGTGTATGTGTGTGTGTGTGCGCACGTGCATAATATATTGTGTTCTCTATAACTATCTGACAATCTGTCAGGATACATGAGCGTGTGCGTGCCATATCCTGTGAAAATCATCCAATCCTCCATCTCCCTCTCCTCCCTCCAGGTGCTCCATGAGTGTGGAAGACGGCGCCAAGCTTTATGACGTTTGTCCGCATGTCAGTGATTCGGTATGTAGCCACGAGCTCCGATCTGTCACGTTGGATTTGTTCACTTCTCAAAAATAACACAGAGAGCAGATCATTTTAGAAAAAAAAGAGAGCTGACAGAGAAGCTAGCCGATATTTCTCTTTGATGTACCACTGTCCATTATTGCTATTTGCTAACTATGTGGTGTGTTTCTCCACTCTGTGATACCATGATGAATTAGCAAGTGTATTTGTATTTAGTTAATGTGGTCCCCCTCGAGTCTTTATCATTCCCACTGAGAAACATGAACTGGAATCCACCGAACATGGATTTATGGCTGATTTGATTTCATGTCCACTGTTAGGTTTCTTCCCTTTTCTTTGGATTTTTCAGTCATTATGCACCAAGCTTTTTTTTTTTTTGCATCATGCAGCCTATATAAACATAGACAAACAATTTTAAAATATTGATACTACAAAAATCCATATATGTAATAGGAGTTATAGAAGAATAACCTACCACAAAAGTGAGGTCATATGACTATGTAATAAACATCCCCTGAGCCTATATGTGGTTATAGTAACACACAGTTAAGGATAATAATACTGTTGAATATATTCTTTTGAACTTGTACTGTAAAATGTCTTTGGTTGTCAGGTAGACTAGAAGAGTGCTGTGCTTAATGTAGTTTGCCAGCCATTTTCCTGTCTTGAAGGTTGTTGAGATGTGAAGTATAAGGTTTCTGTTTGCACAAAGCAGGGTGTTGTTTCCTGTTATTTGAAAAGGCATAAGCTCTCTGAAATGTTTTGCGCTTCCAGTGTCAATTTCCAAATGTTTAATGATTTTTGTTTTCTCATTGTGTGGTGGAAATTTCTATTTGTATATTCTTAATATTTATGACACAAGATGATTGATAGCTAAGGAAAGAACTGAATAGTATGCACTGTTTGCAAGTCTAACGGTCAAATTTTAGATTTACTGTGATTAAATTAAATGGTAGTGACCAAAAGAACAAGATCGCGGCTACTAGCGGCCGAAATTAGTACCCCCCCCACCCCACTCCCTGGTTGAGCCGGTTGATGTGGCCAGGGGGAAGGAAGTCTGGGCTTCCCTATTTTGGCTGCTGCCCACCAGCAAATTGGATCCTGAATAAGCAGAGGAAGACGAATGGATAGAGATGGAAATTAAATGCATTTAAAAAAAAAAACTTTAAAGAAGCCACACTTTGTTAATCCCCCCCCCCCCCCCCCCCAGGTTTTAGGGGAAATTGCTCACCTGATAATGTGTCCTTGTATGATATAATCAAACTAACTGTAAAGTGCTGAACGTTTCACACTCATCCTTTGTCCTTTTGATGATAAACCTCTTCCTGTGCTCTCACACAGGGTTTGTTCTTTGATGAGGCGTATGGTTTTTACCCAGGTCAAGTTCTTATCGGTCCAGCCAAAGTCTTCTCTAATGTACAGTGGCTGTCGGGGGTCAAACCAGTCCTCAGCAGGAAGTGCAAATTCAGGGTGGTGGTAGAAGAGGTGAGGCGGTGATGACATTCCTTTCCATGAGAGCACCTGTATGCAACCCATTGACAGGATTACATGACATTATAATCCATGACATTATAATCCATACATTTTTAGGCAGATTCTTCAATATTTTTGCTTTTGATTTGATTTCAGTTATCGAATCACTGATCACTTAGTGTCTTCGGTTGTTGAACTGCTCGCTCTAAGGCTTGTGCTTCCCTCAGGTGAAGGTGGTGGAGTTGAAAGTGACGTGGATAACAAAGAGCTACTCCCCAAAAGGCTCTGACAGTGTGTATCCACCCCCTTCCACCATCACACAGGAAAACCTCTGCAGGTCAGTGCAGTCATTAATCCACATGTGGCCACTCGCACTAGCCTGTGTCCTTTTCCTAGCCTTTCCATGGGAGCCTGAAAAGACAAAGAAAGTAACACAAACTACCGTAGTCACTCCAGGCCAGAACACATGTTTGTGACATTTGAAATGATGGCATTGTCATGGTTGGCTTTAGGGTGAGACGCTTGGGCTACTATGATCACACCCAGAGGCAGCTGGGGGAGAGGGCCCTTTATATCTTTCCTGCAAAAGGCGACGCCACACGCATCACCTGTGAAGGCCCCGAAGGGGCCCCTGTTCTTCCAGAGGACCCTGTTGCCAGAAAGGTGTGAATAAGTTTACAACAGATTTGTTTCTTTAAGTGCATACAAATTGGTAATATACGGGAATTTGCTGTGCTTTGAATGTGTCGTCGGAGACGGTTGGAATCCCCTTGGCTTCACGCACACTGTCGCCAAGAATTCTTTTGACAATCGTCAACACTTTCTTCCTGTTTTTGTGTCTCCTGCAGTTAAAAAGGATGTTCAAAAAGGATTCGGGGAAGAAGGCGGAAAACGCTGACTCACAAGGTGCCTAACATCTCTTTACTGACAAAATGAGCAGACGAAATGCAGCAGCAAAAACATAAACAGAAGAATTGTTAGGAAATGCTGTTTTGTTTACGGTGTTTCTGATTGGTGTTAGTGATTGTTTTGCATACAACTCTAAACATAATCCGAGAACTAAATATGTACATGTAAAGCTGTTATTTAAAGTTTCTGTGGGAAAGTATGCTGTGATCCCCATAAATAGAGCTTGGAACATAGGGAGCATTATAGGTGAAGATTTTACTACATGAGAAATATTTCAGAGTATTCAGGAAGATATAAAGTGATTTTTTTAACCTTGACAAGAAGCCACACTAAATAACATTTTGAGAATTTCAGATCATTTAATGTAGAAGTGAGGTTATACTCTCTTTCTGAATCATTGACGAGCTGTAACGGTAGACTTTTCTTTTTGCATAGATAGCACAGTATTTTTAAGTTAAGTTTTTTATTGAGAATTAGCCCTTTTTAGGTTACACCTAAATTTTTTTAAAAATGTGTCTCACCAGGTGAACTGAAATCAGAGCAGGTAGACTCGTCTCGTCCCAACAACAACGGGCCTGTGATGTCGCTGCCGAATTCGCTGGACTCTCAGAACCCCAGCAACTCCACGGCTGAACACGTGGAGCAGGACGCAGATGACGAGGCTGCAGAGGACACGGATGACACCAGGTCTGTGAGGGCCATTTGATGATCATCCCTCTCTTTTTGTTTTGATAATAATGAGAACCCATGTAATGTTGAATAAGATATTTAACACTCTTTAACTCATCTGTTACAAAAATGTGAGGTTTTCAGAGCACTGAGTACCAAAATACTTTTTTGCCATGATGCTTTTTATCATCTCAATTACAGCCCTAGGTTACACATATATGATTTTTTACCTGTTTGACTCTTTCACTATAATATTCCAAACAAATAATCATAATATTACATATTGTGCTCCGATACAAGGTCTCCCTCTGACAGTAGTAAGCGTTCATACTGTGACCGCATGGACATATGATTTATATTCAACGTGGTGGGGCCGATATTTTATGTATGTATGGGATAAAAGAGCAGGTTGCTGACATAAGCCCTCTCTGTGACTTAACTGTAGCTCATTTGACTGTTTTCATTGTTAAAAGCTCCTCAATAGAGGAGTCGAAGATATTTTGGGGGGCAGCCTGTTGCATGAAAAGCTTTGTTTTTATACTCTTTCCATTATTGTATCTTCATCATTTGGTTATGGTTACGATGGCCTTGGAAAGTTTAGAAAAATTAAGCATACTTTATATCCGTCATAGAAATTACACAAGTAGATTAGTTTAAATGAAAATAGATTTATGCCTTTCGGAATGACAAAGTACAACGTTTTTCAGTATTTTTTAATTTATTGGGTCGAACGTAGCAAAATGGACGTGGGTAAAAAAAACAACTAAATTAACTGTTTGTTTTGTATGCAACTCCAACGTGGATGCAGTTCCCTGACATCATCTGCAAGCTCCACTGCCTCCTCCCAGAGCGGTGGCCTGGGAACCAATCGCAAGAAAAGTATCCCACTCTCCATCCGCAACCTGAAGAGGAAGCACAAAAAGAAGAGGACCAAGTTCTCCCGTGAGTTCAAGCCTGGAGACCGGTGAGTGAACAGAAAAACATGTCTCAATTTCTGAGTCTTTATTAATTCATCTTCTCGTATAGTCTGTATTTCTTCTTGTAGTTTTTTTCCGGACTTTGACTTTAACCATGCAGAATATTGTTGTAACCAGACAAAGAGTTCCTGTTTTATTTATTGTAAACAGTGTTTTTAGTGTCCTTATTGGTGTTTTCCTTTCTCAGGGTGGCAGTGGAAGTTGTGTCCACAAAGACCACAGCTGATGTGATGTGGAAGGACGGGTGGGTTGAGAAGGGGATCAGATCAAATGATCTCATCCCCATTCAGCACCTTGACAGCCACGAGTTTTGTCCTGGGGATTTTGTGGTCGACAAGCGACGTGAGTCCACTTTTTTAAACTTCAAAATCATCTTAATGATCAGTTCTGAAATTTAATTTTCTAAGTATAGGTGTCAGATTTCTTTCCTTGTGTACTGCAGTTATGTGTTTTTTATTTTTTATGTGGGCTTACCTGTCATTCAAAATCCACAATATAATCTCAAGTCTGTTGCTGTGTGTCACATGGACTGGAAATACAAGGATATATCTCATCAGATCATTAATTATTGCTTTTATTTGCAAATTTGTGTTTAAGATGTGTGCATGTGTATGCTGATGCTCTCTTTTAGCTCAAGCCCTGCAGGACCCAGGAGTGTACGGTGTCATCCAGTCTGGGGATCACAAGGGCAGAACATGTGTCGTAAGGTGGATCAAACTCAGCTCCACTGGTGACAATGTCGAGGTTAGTCAACGGGACGTTGTTAGTGTTACCGAGGTTAAAAGGTATTTGTTCATTATAGTGATTTTTTTTTCTCCATTCAATCTAGGTCATTGGTGTAGAGGAGGATGTCAGCGTGTACGACATTGCAGATCATCCAGATTTTCACTTCCGAACTACAGACATTGTCATCAGAATATGGAACTCGGAGAATGGACAGAATGACTGTGAAAATGAGGTGAAAACCATATTGATGACTTTCAACTCGCATTCTGTATCAGTTTTTTTTTTATCCAGTTTTTTTATTCGATGGCACACTAAGCCAGGGGGATAAAAAAAAAGAACAAAATATGCAAAGTAGCTCAAGAGCTACATCCTGCCCTTAGATTAGATTATATTAGATTAGTGTACTTTATTGATCCCAAAGTGGGTACATTTACACGTTACAGTGGCAGTACAAACCATACATAAGGGCATAAAGGGAAAACCACAAACCTCGTAAAGGCATAAATAAAGCTATTTACAAGGTTTCAAATTTGATTTAGCATTGTTTTGGTTATGATCATCTCTGCATATTCACCCACCCTCAGACATCAGTGGGCCAGGTGTCCAGGGTGGATGTCAGCAGCAAAGTGGAGGTTGTGTGGGCCGACAACTCTAAGACGATCGTACTGCCACAGGTAAACGCACATCTCCGCAGTCACGCTCACCCTTAGAGGAAAGCCGTTTGCTGACAACGCAACAATCCCCACCCAGCACCTCTACAACGTGGAGTCCGAGATCGAGGAGACGGACTACGACTCCGTGGAGGAGACGAGCAGCGTGCTGTCCACCGAAGAGTGGGAGGACGAGAGCGATAGCTGGGAGACGGACAACGGCCTGACGACTGAGGACGACAGCCACGTCAACAACGCGGAGGCGACAGAAACGGCAACTCCCACCCTCACACCCACCGGTTCCACATCCTTCATCATCCCCCCACAAGAAGAAGGCAAGACCGGAGGCACCAGCCCGACTAAAGGAGTCCCGATAGAGGAGGGAGAAACGTCTGTGGCAGTGGCCAGTCCTTCCTCTGGAGGTGGTGGGGGCTCCTTTTCATCCTTAAGCATCATGTTTTACTATTAAAAAACAAATTAGAACTTTTTTCCTCTTTTTAAAATTTTTTATTCAACTGCAGCAATCAAAAGAAAATCAAACATTAGTCTTCCTCATCTTTGTGGGTCTATTGGCTATAACTTACGAAATTAATAGAAACTGTGTCTGTTTAGGAACAACTCCAGGAGGAGCAGTCAACGGATCAGAGAAGCCCAGCAAGGACGGTTCCTCTCGAGGGTTCAGGGAGTTGAAAGAGGCCCTGAAGATCCTGGAGAGTCTTAAGAACATGACTGTGGAACAGCTGTGGACAGGCGGCTCTCCGACATCGCCGACATCTGCCGAACCCGCTTCTGTAGAGAACGTTGCGAGTTCAGTCACATCAGCTGCCCCAGAAAAACCAACCAAGGAGAAACGCTTCCTGGACGACATCAAAAAGCTGCAGGAGAACTTGAGGAAGACGCTGGACAACGTGGCCATCGTGGAGGAGGAGAAGATGGAAGCTGTGGTGGAGGTAGCTGGAAGTGGAGGCGCAGGGGTAGAGGTAGGTCTTTGGAGTCCAAATAAAATGGCACCAAATTGGTACTTCTTTTTTTTGTCCCTGTTCAGTCTGTACCTAACCTGTAGATTACTTTTCAGCCAGAGAGAACTGGAGAGGACAAGCTCCAGCAGGAGCCGCAGACACCAGTGGGCGGGCAAGAATGGCCCAGTGAGTTTCTCAGTGACACGCCAGTACTGTGCCAACAGAGTGGAGGGAAACCGGGAGTGACCTTTACCAGTGCCAAGGGAGAAGTGTTTTCAGTGCTAGAATGGGCACCAGGTGAGGCAAACCTTCAGGTTTTTTTATTTAACTTTTTAAAAATCTGTCCAACTGACATTTCCCTTCTTTTTTCTTTCTTTTTTTTTTAAATCTTGTTTTCACTTTCTTTAGTCCTTTTCTGAAAGTCTTGATTAAGACTTAGAAGACATCAAATCTTTCATGTCGTGCCATATAAACTGGTAAAAAGCACAAATATAAGTAATTTTTTAGTGACCACAGTTTAAACTAAAAAATGTTGTCACTAAATTAAGAAGCTGGAGATTTATCGGTCGCATAGCTGGAAGTTCTATTCAAACCTTCCACCACTAAATTCATAAGTTTTATTTTCTCCTAGACATGCAGATGTTCTTCTTTACTATTTTGGCAGCAATAGCAGCTTCTTTTTTTTCTATTTGTAGACAAAACAATAACACCAATATGCATAGTGAAGTTTAATTAGGCATATTCCACATTTCCAAATTAGTCATTGTCCTCACTTCCCAGTTGTTGTTTATGTTTTGTTCTTTTTAATCGATGTAACTTGTCCTTCTGTAACAGACACTCACTCATTTAAGAAAATGGAGTTTCAGCCGGCAGAGGCGAAGAAATTTTTCAGCACAGTGAGGAAGGAAATGGCCCTGCTGGCAACATCACTGCCTGATGGCATCATGGTGAAAACCTTTGAAGACCGCATGGTGGGTTCACTGTTGTTAGTGCCATAAGAATAATCACAACTTTGAAAGTTTGATCTCATCAGGTGAAGACGCAAAACAGTCCAAGAGCTCAGCCTACCGACGCAAAAAAATATCTGGAGATTCACTTTTAATGCATCGACATAAAGCATTATCCATACAAAGACTAAACAGCAAACCTGTTTTGAATGCAATTCAGGCAACTTTTGTAATGCTGCTAGACAAAGTGACCCAAATGCATAATCTCCTTGTTTAAGGCAATCAGTTAAATTTTATTTATCATGTCAGAATTGACTGCACGATTGGTGTTACAGAAGGTCTGAAACACTACCTTTAATTTGTATTAAATAATGATCAAAATTAGGAATGAAACTTATGTCTAAACTTGCAGTATTATGAATTCAGACTATTCATAAAAAATGGCAAATCTAGTCTGTTGGTTTTATGGAGAACTATAGTATTTTCTCTTGGTCAAAAGCAGACGGGACACTAATACTGTAACTTTAAGCGTACTGCTATACAGAAGACCTGAATTTTCCAGCACTGTGATTCGTGCAGTGTGCGCTGAGCTTTGACACTGTTTTTGCCGTCCTAAGGGGAAATCCTTTTTTCTTAAGGCCATGAACTGCAGAGGTTGACCTGCCTATTTAAACTGCAGAGGAGTCAAACTGTGGTTGAATGAAGAGATTTCTAAATGTGACACTCTGTGTGTGTGTGTGTGTGTGTGTGTGTGTGAGTGAATATGTATCAACTCAAGAATCTATAGAAGTTATTTATAATGGTGGTTCTAACTGTATATACATGTATTTATTGGAGTAAAACACAACATTTGAGAGTCGCACACATAATTATTTGTTTAGTTTGCTTTTGCTTTTTTGAACTTGTATAGAAGACAGTTGAGATTAGCAAAGTTTTGACTTTATATTATTATTTGTTATTTGTCATTTGTTATATATATATACACACAACTAAATCTGTCCTGTTGTTCTCCTGTGGCCCAAAATTCTCAGAGCCGTTTGAGCTAGTTTTAGGTCCTGAAACTGTCTTGAAATTACACCCTTAACAGCCATGTCTGAATAAGGTTGTAAGGGGACATGGTTCTACTTTGAAATCAGCTTTGTTTCGAGGTTAACCTAAAGTATGTCTCTTCCATTATTAGGTGCTGATGATCTTAAACAAAGGGGGTGATTTTGTGCTGATCTAGACTAATGTACCAGTCTGTTAAATCACAGATATCAGTTATCAAAAAATTCCAATGGATGATTTTTTTATTTCTAATTTCATTTTTAATTTTTTTTAAAAAAACCCCTTAAATTAGATTAAGTAATGGTATCTGTGCCACTAATCCAGCTTGGTAAAGATGTATAAGCCTGACACAACATTTCTGTTTTACACTGAAGGCTGATGGAGGTGGGGTTTGCGTGCAACAGCATTATTGACAGTATTTTTGACAAGCTTTAGCCTAAACAATCAGCCATCTATTTTCCTCCGAGAGTTTTTATGATTTGACACCTTTTAAAGACAAAAAAAAAAGAAGTTATGTCTAACATCTCTGTGCTGCTGGATCTCACTCGCCTTTGAAATGCACCACTGAAGGATGCATCTTTAAGCTCTTCTGTTTCCATGACACAGGACCTGTTTTCAGCTCTGATCAAAGGACCAACCCGAACCCCCTACGAGGATGGACTCTTCTTGTTCGACATTCAGCTGCCCAACATCTACCCAGCTGTGCCGCCTCTGTTTCGCTACCTGTCCCAGTGCAGTGGCCGCCTCAATCCCAACCTCTACGACAACGGCAAGGTTTGCGTCAGCCTGCTGGGCACCTGGATCGGCAAAGTGAGTGAAATGTTCGGGTTTAACAGAGCCATGCGTGAAGCCGCTGTTTAAAAAAAAAAAAAAAAGTATTTATTGATTATATGTGCAAGAAGAGCACAACTTTTTTTTAGAGGCAATTATTTTCCAGGTTGCGGGAATTTGACAAGATATTTTTTTGTCTATGTTGTATTGACATGTCATGAGCATGGTACTGACACACTGATTGGGTCGTGTGATCCACAGGGCACTGAAAGATGGACCAGCAAGTCCAGCCTATTACAAGTCCTAATTTCCATACAAGGTTAGTCACACACACTTTTTGTGTTCTCCGTCTCCTTTCTCCAGCTAGAAATGTTTTAATTTGTTCAGAACTGCTGTGTAAAGTCAGTCTATCAACTTAATATGTCAAAGAGAGTTATATTTACATTTACATTTATGCATTTAGCAGATGCTTTTATCCAAAGCAACAAAAAGAGGGTTTAACTTTCATCTACAACACCAGCTACACACTAACCTTGAGTGCAATATGCTAGAAAATGATAGAAAATGACAATAAGTATTTAACATTCAACTATGACATGGATTACACAAGTACCATACACTGAGTGCTATATGCAATTAGGAAATAAGTGCATTCAGAGCTTTTAGGACAAGAGATACTCTTGGGAGAGCTGGGTCTTAAATGGTTTCTTGGAGGAAGAAAGAGAATCTGATGCTCTGATAGAGCTCGTATGGTCGTGGAACCACAGATGAGAGTCTAGATTGAAGTGTAGGGGGGCGTTGGCCTTGTTAGCTGGTGCTAACGGAGGACCGGAGGTTTAAGAGGTTGTTGAGGTAGATGGGTTGGGATCTCTGTGGCTTTTAAAAAAATTTTGGGGGGTGTTTCTCTTTTCCTGATTTAACATTTTGTGGGTTGATCTGCCGGCCCGCAGGCCTCATCCTGGTCAACGAGCCGTACTACAACGAGGCCGGCTTCGACAGCGACCGGGGCCTGCAGGAGGGCTACGAGAACAGCCGCTGCTACAACGAGATGGCCCTGATCAAGATGGTGCAGTCCATGACGCAGCTGCTGCAGAGCCCCGTGGACGTCTTCCAGCAGGAGATCCGCCAGCACTTCGCCTCCAGCAGCTGGCGGCTGGTCCACCGGCTGGAGGCGTGGCTGGAGCTCAACGAGGCGGCGGAGCGGAGCTCGGCGCCGCACCCGTCCTCCAGGAGCCACCACAGGGAGCGGGCGCTGGCCGGCACCGAGCCGCCGGACGAGTGCCCCCCCGCCGCCGCCACCGCCGCGGCCGCCCACAGCGGTCCCGGCAAGCCCGGGGAGGAGGCGGCGCCGGCGGGCGTCCACGCCGTCATAGAGGAGGAGCCGGAGGAGCTCAGCCCCTCCGCCGCCGCCTCGTACCAGGAGGCCAGCCAGAACTCGGACAGCTGCGAGGGCGCCCCCCCCGGCGGGGAAACCAAGGCCGCCGCCGCTCCCTCGGCCCGCGGCGGGACGTCGGAGGCGGCGGCGGCGTCCTCCGGCAGCCAGCAGGCGGTGCGACCAAAGAAAAGGCGGAAGAGCTACCGGAGCTTCCTCCCCGAAGGCGGCGGCTACCCGGACATCGGCTTCCCGCTCTTCCCGCTCTCCAAGGGGTTCGTGAAGAGCGTCCGCGGCGTGCTGCTGCAGCACCGGGCCGCGCTGGCCGCCGCCGGCATCCCCGAGCACACAGAGGACAAGTAAGTGCCTCCACGGCCTCTCCCGACACAAACACCTGCACTGTCGTCCGCTCTTTTCCTCCTTTACCTTCTTTCATCCGCCTCGAGCCATGAAAGAGACGCATCAAAAATAATCAGGGGGGGTACTACAAGTTTGGTCTCCAGGACCCCCCGCCCGCCCCCCTGCCCAGAGCTGCACTGTGCTCCAGGACCAACCACATGTTTTGTTTTTTTTTGTTTGTTTTTTTCTTAACCTCTATTCTCCAAGCTTTACTGCTTCCTGCTGCCCTCATACTTCAAAATAAAAGCACGACTGCTGGGAAACGAGCACCTTTGTTCACCGGCGCCTTGACATTGTCTTTTTTTTTTTTTTTTTTTTCGTCTTCAGTGACCCTTCAGATGAGTGCGATGGATAAAAGCGGGGTGGAACCTCACAAACGCTCACCCACGTTACACAAACCCCGCCGGAGCCGCATACAGTAACAAAAAAAAAGAAAACTTCCCCATTTAAAAAGCAGGTAAAACGACAAAAAGCCCTGAGCCGTTAGGGGAAACGCTACGTTTCGAAAAAGGACGTTAAGATGGGGGGAAAAAAGTGGACGGAGTGGAAGGAAAAAAAAAATTCTGCGCATTGTCGTCCAACTGACCTCCAGTAGCCTCCACCTTGCAGGTGGAGATCGGCCAGGTAACCGACCACTCTGCCGTCTCAACACGCCTAACAGACGTAAAGTGAACTTGTTGGCTGGTTACCTCTGGAAAAAAAAAAAAAAAAAGGTTGCTGGGCCAACCGCGGCTCTTTGTAGCACCACTGATGTGATCACAGTACTGCACTACAAAAACCAAACCAACAAAGGACAATCCGGTCTGGGAAAAGCCGTGTAGACGCACGCCGGACAGGAGGACTTTCTCTCTTTTCTTTTTATCGAAAATTAGGAATCGCTGGTCTTATGCTTTCTGCCAAATTCTCTCTGTTCGCGTACACATCCACACACTTTCGCAGCAGAACGGGCCGAATGTCAGTAAAACTGCCAACCGTTTTTTTACCACTTCTTCCACCATACTCGCCCTCTTGCCATCCTCTCACTACGAACCACACAAATGAACAAGGAGTGACAAAGTTTACATTGGAAACGCCTCCGGGGGGGGCTGACCGTTGTGGCCGTCCGGTCCAGAACGAGGCCAGCCGGCCGCTCCAGTGGTCCCGCAACGCTTCTGCACGCAAAGGTGTTCCACTCGCTTTCTTGAAATTTGGCAAAGTTGCCACTTCTTGATAAATATATTTGGACTTTTCGAGGTTGTTTTAGTTTCTTTTATTTTCATGACAGGATTGATTTGAGTTGAGCTTTTGCCTACGATGCTCCACTCGTCTGTCACTGCAAACGACACAATTTAAAGGGGTAGATGAGACGTCACTGAAAAAATAAAACATCCATTCCATCATCTCATGTCAACATGTTGCCTTACTTGAATCGTTCTTAATGATCTCAGACTATTGTGTAGAGAACAGTTTGTGTCACGCTTTAGACAACAGGCACAGACGAGCACTAAGAACCACTAAAAAATCCCACTTCAGTGTTTTTTCCTTCCCTCCCGAGCAAGCCACGCCGGGTTTAAGACCCCCCCCCCCCCCTCCCCCTCCGTCTGATTGCACGCAGTGATGTTGAGAGTCGGTAAATCTCTGTTCTAATCGTTTTCATACCGGTGTTTTTTTCCCTGGTCAAAGCATAATACGTTGCTAGAGGTAACCATTAGATTATATAACACAATTTACAGCACAAGGTCAAACGTGGATAGAAAAGACACGAATCAGGGTTTTTATTCAGCAGCTCCTACATAGAGCGTTCATTTAGTTGCTTCGGTTTCCGTGGTGGAATTTACCTTTTGGTTTCGGTCGGGCTTCCTGGGCCAGATCGGTCAGCAACCTGTAGACTTAGTGGACACAAACCTCCACTCGTGCCATCCCGATTAGTTGTTTTTTTTTCTCTCAACATGCCATCATCCATCTTGAAAGCACTGATTAAAACAAACCCCGCGTGCTCGCCACCATCAGAACTCACTACGGCGTTGGCTGTCTGGTGGTTTTTTTTTTTTTTTTTCTTGTTTTTTTTTTTACTTGAACAAAGAAGTTTGATGCCGGGAAGCATCAAATGAATGAGAGAGCACACTGTGCCATTATGAACTCCGGAGTGATGAGTGAGGAGAAAACTTGGAGCCAAGAGCTGCTTCTTTTTAAGGTACTTGAAGGAAAAAAAAAAAAAAAAGTGAATGAGGGTGTTTTCTTGCATTTGTCTTCCATGTTTTTCCACTGCAGCCCTTTAAAAATTGGCATCCCTGCACCTGATGCAACAATCGGGCATCCCAGAATTTTACTCGGTCGATATTTAGCTCCCTTTAATGCCTGATGACAGATGCGACCCCCCCCCTCCCCCTCCAAATTCACCCTTATATGCTTTTTCAAATGTGAAATGTGAAGCCACATGTCAAAAGTGTAGGAGGGCATCGGGGCCCCACGACGCTATGTATAATTTTCCATGTATATTCTTCAAATTTAAACCATTATTATTCTTATTCTTATTACTGCAAGATGTTTGTTTTCCAGCCAAAGCATGTAACATGTTGCTTTAAGCCTCTTGACTGGGCTACAGACAAGAGTTGCCTGTACGATGTCTACATTTCCACAGTGGCCTGTTTATTGATATATTATTTAAAAAGAACTAATAAAGTTATAATTTGTAGCCTGATTCCTTCTGTACAGACATCATGACTATATTGAATATGGGTACAGACAGTATATTTAACACACACTTGAGTTGGAACAAATCACTTGGATGCTCGAGGCATACATGTATAAAAACAGAAAAAAAAAAAAAGAAAAAAAAGGTAAGTGTGTATTGTACTTCAGATTTCTTTTTTTTTTTTAATGGTTTACTCTTGTTGCTTTAAAACAACTGTATAGTGATGTATTAAACTTTGCAAGCAGTACCAAAGAATGTCGTGGTTTTTAAAAGAAATTGGGTTTCATTTGCATCGGCATGACAAACGAGAGCACGAGAGAACATGAAACACTTAAGATACTATGCAGGAACTAATCAGTGTTTTCAAACTAAAGGGCAGAAAAACACCTTGCTGTTTGAACTTGTCTGGGGTTCATTGACAGTATGGCCAGCTTTTTGTTTAAAAAAAACTAACTTAAAAAACTAAATCAAATAAACATATATATGTATATATATATTTATATGTATATGTGTGTATATATATATATATATGGAACACCCGGCATTGTTTGTATGATTGAGTAGAAAGGCAGAATACTGTTGCTTGCATTTTACATTCATTTGACTAAATGATTCTATTAGTCCCTGCTAGAGACCAGAAGGAACATACCATAAGCATCCTGAATTTGAGCTGTGTATTTCTATCTATATTTTGGTTTAGTTTGTGGATAAAATCATAGGTGCAGATGGACTTTTGGATCACCTACTTTAAAATGGGCCTCGTGGTATAGCTCAGCTGTGACTGTGCACGTATGCTTTTTTTTAAAACCGAGGCTACCTACAGACCATTATCACTGCCCTCATTTTTCAAAGTCCCATCTAGCACCTGACCTACATGTTTCTACAAACAAACCTTCTCACGTCTTGTTCTTTATGCTTATAAGCAGACGTTTCAGAATTGAGCAGGAATGATGCACCACGCAGAGTAGATTTTTTAAAATCATCATTTAATTTACATTTCATTTAAATACCAGGGCAGACCATTTGGTTTTAGAATAGAAAAACATACAGACATTTGTCTAAATAAAAAAAAAAATAGATCTCTCTTTGAATAAAGAAGCAATCATTACAAGCGTAAGTGTTCTAGAAAAAAAGATAAAGACTACTTCCCCTTGACCGTAAATCTTAGTAAGCAATAGCAACAAATTGAGTTTGTTGCTCACTGGCTAAATGAAATTCAATCTGGTCCTTCAATAATCACATTTAATTCTTGGATTTTCAGTCCAGGTGGCTGAGAAAAAAACTAGACTTTGCATTTCTTTCCTTGTGCGAGATGTCAGACGAATGCGTTCTACAGGTAAAATGTTTTGGAGCAGATCTATAAATAAACGACTTTACCGGCTCCATTTAAATGTGTTTAATGATTGCATGTGAGGCGATGGGTTTGATTTGTTACCAATGTTTCAGTCAGCAGCAAATGCAGTAAACGCAGTGACATATTTTAGCCACCAAGCGGCAGCATCAAGGCACGTCGAACAAGTTAAAGGACCGTTACACAAAAAAAAACGGACACTGCAAAGGCAAAAAAAAAAATCAAAGTGTTCTGTTAATTTAGTGTTTGTTCAAAAGCAGGGGTTCATGTGCATTACAGGAAGCCCCAAACCTTGATTTCAGCGTGCGAAAAAAATCAAATCAAGTAAAAAATTCTCAGTGGAAAAGGTCTTTTGATTGATCCAACTTTTTTCTGTTTTTAATACCACCAGTACATGTCCTGTTTGAACAGTCACCTGGCGCCTGATGTCGGGTTTTGCTCCGAGAGTGAGAATTGAGTGAGCAGAAAAATATTTTCAAGTATTGTTTTCAACTTAAGAACTTATTACAGAGTCCTTCATGAGGAGCAATAAATTAAACATAGAGAGCAACCGAAAATAAACGTGAATGACAGAAACATGAACGTATGGGAGACGGGCTGGCAACAAGCAGGATATGTGCAAAAAATATATATTTTTGGTTCTTTTTACAAACAGTTAACAGTCAAGGAGTGTTTTTTAAAAATAAATCAGGTCCACCGTGGCCCGTTTCCCCTTAATTCCTGACAGTCACCGTTCTTGTGTTTGACTTTGTTGATGGGAGGCACCACTCAGGAACACAGCAATGCCTCCCTCATGCAGCATTAAACACTCAGTACCCCCCCCCCTCCACTCCCTGCCTCTTTAAAGCATCAAAATGAGCACTGAAAGCTTACAGGTCATCCCGTTTTTCCATTAGCACTCTGTGTTAAGGGCACCTCGGTGACCACAACTAGTCTGCGAGAGGTCAGAGGGTCGAAAACTTTCCTCTCGTATTTTTTCCAATCAATTTTTTTGTTTTTTTGTTTGTTTTTTGTTGGACAATGTGATAACCTTAAGAAATAGCTTTCTATAAAGGAGCACACATCCTGACAACGACTTTCTGATTTAACTGACATGGACTCTGGATGAAAATAAGCAAACAATAAATTATGCGGCTCCAACGATTGTCAAGTGTCTCCTGTTCAAAAAAGGAATATTGCAAATCACTCGTCATTAAATTAGAAATCTCTGCACGACAAGCAGCGAGAGAAACTCAGTGTAAGTGTTCTCAAGGTGGAAAACAGCGTCCACAGAGGGAAAAAAACGGATAACATGGACATAAAGTATAGAAAAGTTCTAACGTGGACTGAGATCATCTTGTTTTAAAGATGGTTCTAGAAAAAAACCTATTAGATGAGGAGATGCTGTCACCGTTTTTGCCCATGTGACATTCTGTGTCATAAACAGCCATAACTGCCACAGTGGCATCACAGTGAATCCACACACACACACACACACACACACACACACGCGTCGTCTCCAAAGAGGATTAAATTATTGTGACTTGAAGTGACGATACATTCAGAAATCCTCCGATGAAATCCTGCTTCCCCTCAAAGGTTTATTGTGTATCAGTTTCAAAAGCTTTACTTGAAAAATTCTTCGCGTTTTCCGTGGAACAGTTTTCTTTTCCTGAACAGTTGAGTTCCACGCTGCTTTCATGCTAAGGCTCCGAAATGCATTTGCTGTGTGTACGGCGATCTGATTAAGAACGATTTAAAAACAAAAACAAAGCAGAGCTACCCAATCTGTGTATCAAAATAAAATGTCCCTTTTTCTTTTTTACATTTTTGATTGACAATTGAAAATGGAAAGAACGATTGATAAACAGATTCTACCCCACAGTGACTAATTTCTAAGTTAATGGTAGATCTTTGTAAACTTTTTAATTTAGTTTAATAGAAAAAATTTGTATATGATAAAAAGGAATAATAATAATAGTAATAATTATCCTTCTGCTATTTTATTCTTATGTTGAGCTAGAATTTATAGATGCAGTACCAATATGAATTCATTTCTCTAGTAAGAACCTCCAAATTCTCCATTCTTGGCTTCTTGTTGTAAAGATCGACATCACTTTTTTTCTTTATTTGCTAACGAGATAAAAGTGCAGATTAAAAGAGAAGCCTGACGTCCGTCGTTTGGTCCTTCGCCCGGCGTTTTTGGATCGGAGTACGCCAGACGGCGCCCTGTGGAACGCCTCCGGCCGGCGTGGGCTCACCTACTGATGAGCCTGGACAGGCCTCTGTGCACCTCGGCCTGCACGGGGCCGTACTCCACCAGCTCCCCGTCCACCGTCAGCATCCCCGTGGGCGAGAGCGGCTCCAGCCGCAGCGCGCGCACCCGGGCGTGCACCAGGTGCCGGCAGCCGGCCGCCAGGTGGGCGCCCTTTTCCATGGCGAGGAAGAGCCGCAGCAGGGCGCCGCGCGAGATCCCCGCCCGCACGTAGAAGAGGTGGATCACGCCGTCGTCCGGCCCGGCGTCCGGCGCCGCCAGCAGGTCCTCGGCCAGGTGCGACTGGTACATGGCCAGCACGAGGACGAAGTCCTCCTCCTTGACCACCGTCCAGTCGCCCGGCACGGCTCGGTCCAGGGGCGGCAGCAGGGAGTCCGGCGGCCCGGGCGGGCCCTCGCCGGCCCTCCGGGGGCCCGGGCCCTCCGGCCTCCGCGCTTTGAGGGAGTTGTTGGAGTGGCAGGAATTGTGGAAGGTGTTGTGGCGGGGGGGGTCTGGACCCTGGGCGGGGGCCCGGTTTAGGCGGGGCGTCCCAGGGCCATCCGCCGTCCGGCTGTGGTCAGCGTCCACCGGCAGGTAGGCCAGCCTGCCCTTGTAGACGCGGAGGGAGGCCAGCCGCACCAGGGTGCCCACGGTGAAGCGGGCGGCCCCCGCCCGCCGGTACTTCTCGCTCTCGATGTCCACGTCCGCCACGAAGCCCCAGGCCAGCGACAGGAAGGAGAAGAGACGGGGGCCGGAGCAGAGGTGGACGGAGACCAGGTCCATGCGGGAGGCCAGTCCTTTGCAGAGCAGGAAGCCACAGCTGAGAAGAAGATCCTCACTGGACACCGGAGCCGCTCTGGAGGACCAGACACAGGGATGAGAGGCTTGAGTGTTTAATTTATTAGTCAACTGGAAGAGAAAATATATAACCTCCGGAGACCCGAGCTTTTAGTGTGTATTTTCGCTTTTTTCAAGATATCTGGGATTAGTAGGACCTAATAAGTTTAATAACTATACTTTGTCCTGGTTCAGGTAGTTTTTCTTCATATAGGCTCAATGGGTTTATCTTTATATTTCAAATGTTTGTTTACATATTTAAGCTCCTGAGACCCTACGTCCTCATATGAGGACATTGTATTTCTGCCTGTCTTTACCATGACACTTATTTTTTCTTTGGACTTTGACCTCTAGATGCTATTAGACACTACTGTTTGAAAACTAAAATGGTTTTATAGATTTTCAACCAATTAAAGTTTTGTCAATAAGTCATTTGGAACGTCAGAACCAAACTGCTAAAACGTTATATTTCTTTGTAACATAACGCAACACGTAGCAGCCACGTTGGTTCAAAGCCAACATTTTTATCATAAAAGGTTCAAATGAAAATAATTCCAATTTTAAGTTTAAATGAGGGAATCATTAATAAGATGACTAAAAAATTACTATGACCGAGTTATTAAGCTGTGGTCCATTGGAGATCCACAACATTCACACCCAATGCCAACACCCATACCTAACACTTCTTATCAATAAATGACCCAGTAACAATTTGAGGGTTCTTTTTCCCAGCAGATAAATGTTTTTGGAGATTTTTCTCAACCAAATGAAATACATCTGATCCTAAAAGCTTTCCAAAAAAATAAAATCTAACATCAGCCCCAATTCCACAAAAAAATCAAAGGCAGCAAACAAGGAAAACTCTGTAGCATAGATCAAACTGTACCACAAGCAAAAACGATAATAAATCTCTCGTCTGCTCCACCTCTAGAGCAGGGATGGCTCTATGTAAATATATCAGTGGAGAAGATGAACCCAAAATGGACCCGAATCCATGAATCTGGGTCTCTGGCTGCGGAATGAAAAGGGCAAACATTCTCACAAAAGCGATCGAGGCTTCTGGGCCTTTTGGGGCTCTCTCTGTCAGAGGACGGTTTTCCGAGGTAAAGGCGATTTTGACCTCGTGTAATCTGACAGTTTAGAGAGTGGAGGAGAGGCTGCCGAGAGAGGGCGGAGCCCCACAGAGCTGGAGGGGGGGGCTGTCAGACAAAGACGGCCCCATCTGGGGAAACAAAGGCCCGAGGTGGAAGGTCAGGATAAGACAAACTCACGCACACACACACACACACACACACACATGCAAATTTGCCTGCTGTTGCCGCACAAAGCCAAAAACGGTGATGACTGGACGTCTCAGTGGACGCCATCTTCTTTTCCCTGAATCTGTTTACCAGCCCAGCTTTCAGCTTGTTACTCATTTGCATTTTTTGCAGCACGGTTCTTACTTGGTCCAAACAAAATAAGAAGAATAAGTACAGGATTTGTGGCTGACAACCTTGGTATTTTTTTTTTAAGACAGACTATCATTGATGTCCATTTAATTTTTTTATTTTGGCTAATGAATGAACTGTTTCATTGCACCTTTTAGGCTCACAAATTAACAGAATTTTCTCCAAACACATAATTCAGCCTTCTCCGGCATATTTCCATCAACAAGGGAGCGTGTTGAAATTGTATCCACAACAAAACTTGTGTTTGTCCGGTTATTTAAATGCAAAATCACGAAAAGTTACATTAAAAAATCCTGTTTGCATAGTTCCATAACGATCCCAACGGTTGAAAAACCGAGCGCCCACCTCTCTCTCTCATGGCTTTCGAAATAAAACTAACTGAACTTTCATTACCGGGTGAGTTAAAAAAGAAAATACACACATGAGGGTTTAGCGTTTTCATTGGATAACAAAGTCCGTAGTCACATAATAATAATCAACCAAATTGCCCTTAATTAAACATACTATTCATTTGGTACCTATACCAATCAACCCATTCACAACCCATTCACATAAAAGCTGTTAGGCTAAAAAAAAACAACTAAGTCAGCAATGCCGATAGTTTTAGTGACAGACTAAAATGAGCCCCTCCCTAAATTGCAAGCCTACAAGCTTTTTTATGAATATAAGTTGTTTTCTCAGTTTCATATAAACTAAGGTGGTCAAGTAGGTAACTTTACCAACTTGAAGCAACACCAACGCATCCATCCGTCATTTTATTTTCTGCAAATTGTCCAGGGTTAAGTTTGCCTCCACATTTACCTCCCCTGATGTAGAATTCCGTGCGCAGCAGTTTGTTGTTATGAAGAATAAAATCTACCGTTTCAACCAACAACTGTACGAAGAGGCAGTTTGTCATCAAAATTAGTTATTTTCCTCTCGCCGTGTGACTTACCGTTCCCTTTGTTTTGTTCTGGTCGAATGAACTCTAAGAGCAAATCATTAATATTTCATTCAAATGAGTGGAACACAATTTACTGTAAAAGGAACCAGACGGTCAAGATGGTGTGTGTCTGAGGTTCAGCTGTACGAAAAATGCTTTTTCTACAAACATGTTCTTTACAGAACTAAACAGCTCACGGGCTGGCATACATTAAAGATGTGAAACAGAACAGTAAACTTGAATAATTATGACTCAAAATAAGACATTAAGACATTTTTTTAATCTAAAACACCTCATAATTAGATATTTTCCAAACAGAGCATTTTGCTTTCAGACTGAAGGTTGAGTTTCTAAAAATAGAATGGGAGGCAGAATCTTCGGTTATAGGGGCCCTCTCTGTAGAACCAGCTGTCTAAGAGGTGGTACCTTTAAATTGTCAAACTGTCTCTTTGACAAAATTAGGGATGGCTCAGGTGACCCTAAACCATCCATAAGCCTGGGCTGCTGGGGGGCTTTCCTTCTCACTGCGTTCTCCCTTTTCTTCAACCTGATGTGATGCTTTTCATCAGACAAAACCAAAGATTAGTTTGGTTTGTGTTTCCCATTTTTGGGCTAATATTAATGGTGTTTGTTGTCCATCCTTTTTGTCCTCTCATGCCCCAGCTGACCAAGTCAGATGGTCATGCTGACAAAGCTGCTATCCATCATGGACAATCCCTCCCACCCCTGCACAGTATTTATTTTTTACTTGTACGATATTGTATCCTACTACCGGACTGCTACGGCATCCGATTTCCCTTCAGGGATTATCTATCTATCTATCTATCTATCTATCTATCTATCTATCTATCTATCTATCTATCTATCTATCTATCTATCTATCTATCT